TTTTTTTTTCACACAAAGACCTATTTTCATTCGTTCACTCTAAAATTATTTTTGCCATGTATGCTACTAATAATGATCTATGAAATATTATACTATGTGATTCGTTTATATTAATTAATCCTGACAATAGACATTGCATGATGCATGTATTTTGTAATTGCAATCAAGAATGCCATCTATCAATATGATACTTTTTTCAGATCTCGTGGTATATAATCTTACAAAAGATTTTGATTTATAGATGGCAGTAGTGACCACAATTATTGATGAGACATAGGAAGTGCTCGTCTAATTCCATAGGCAATGTTAGATATTTGTATGGATTATAAAAATTATAAGATAAATTTTCCTAAAACAATGTTACGTGTCGTTTTAATTTATTTATAATCTTTTTTTTAAATAAATTTCCTTTATCATTATGTCACATCACACATTGTATTTTAATATAAAAATTTTTAGAAAAAAAAAAAACAAAAGAGAGAAAGAAAAAAGAACAAAGAATGAGTCGCCGATCGAAACGTACCTAAGACTTTTCAAAGGAGATTACATACGAACCTCTATGAGGGCTAGTGACCTCTCTGCAACTCTTCGAGCAAGTTTTAGATCATATAAGGACTGTTCCTAGAGCAGCTTGAAACCGTAGTTGGATCCATCACTTGTTTAACGTGTGGACGTGTCGAAGTGACAAATAAGCGGATAGCTTGAACGAAAAAGGAAAGATCTGATGATCGACCTATATGAAGGAAAAAAAAGTAAATAAATAAGAAATTGAACGAGATAGGTATGTCAAAAGTTGATGATGCTAAATACAAAGACTGCTATTTTTAAATCAATTCCATTTTGCTTTGCTCGTTTCGAATTATTTAACTATATCTATTCAGTTCGTCGAAACAATTGTTATCGGTCAGCCATCATTATCAAATAGCTTACATTGCGCTGTCACATCGCTCGACATACCTCGTAATTACATATTGTCCTCACGGTAATGCTGTATATTCTGCCATGATGAAAATAAACGAAACAAAGAATCGAGTTGTGTTCGATATCTCATTGATGTTATTGATGAGAATAAAATAAACGCTTTTCTATTAGCCAGAAAGAATAGCATAGGTTAAATTTCAATGCGAAACAACTTTAACTAGATTTTGAATCGTGCACCAACATCTAGTTAAAATCCTATACGTTATACTGATATAGAAGACGAATTGATTTTGTTCTATTTGTTACGAATTGTCTTGAATTTCCTCGAATTACTCTGATAATTTATTCTGATTTAAACTCGAATGGAAAGCTTTATATCAACTTGACGGTTCAGCATTATTTACGATTAATTGTAAACACGTATCTAACCCACGTTGTGCTGTTAAAATGTAATTAATTCAAAATATATGCAAGAAGTATAGTATAACTTTCTAAATTCTATTATGAAATGAATGACAGCTCGGGGCACTTTTTATAGGAACCACAGTATTCATTTGAATTTTAAGTGGTTTTTTGAAGAAAACGTGGCTCCCTTTTTCTCTAAAAAAAAAAAAGAAAGAGAAAGAGACTTTGAAATTACGGAATAATTTTCTTACAATATTTTCAAAAATTGACATGATTTGAAATATTAATTACATCTCCCATTAATCTTCTGTCGACAATTTGATGTCTAAATCTTAGTCGTGGAATTCGAGATTTTAATATATTATTACCATTGAACGATGTATCTCTCTCGATTCTTTATTCATACTTCTCTATAGATAAAGACCAAAGCAATTTTAATTGATATAAAATTTTTATATGAAGATTGAAATTATATTGAGAACATGAATAATTATAAAAATCAGAAAAATTGTAAAGTAATATAAATTATTAATTAATTAATTTATTTATTTATTAACTAACACGTACCTTTGTTGTTAGAATAAATCAAAAGATAATAGGAAACGTATAGGATGTGAAGATCATTCGGTAGATGGCGTTGGTAGAAAATTCAAGAATATCCCACAGTCGGTATGTGCTGAGATAACCTTAAATTTAATCCTATAATCAATAAAAAAGTATTTATCATATAAATTTAAATTATGTATTCATTTTTCTTTTTATCTAAAAATATTTGTTCTCATTTAAGATAATACATATATAAACGACTATCTCAAATGTTGAATATTCTAATTGAAAACGACGTAAATAATATTAATAAATCTTCTTTCCTGTAATATTAAAAAAAGCTATTAATCTGTAAATAATGAAATATATTATTTTGAAAAACAATATTCTTAATTGCAGCTTCGACAAAGATGCGGTAAATAAAATAAAAAAATGAGATGTTACAGGTTTTTCACATTATTTTGTTTGGCGCAATTTAAGAACAAAGTGAATTAATTATCTTCCGTATAATTAAATTTACTAATGAAAATTTACGATTGGACTAAATAATGCAGCCAATTAGATCGGTTGTACTTGTGTTATCATATTGTGATCGTTCAATAATAGCAACATCGGAAGTAATACAGATTATTCAGACTTCACCACATAGAGATTGCTGCATACAGAGATTCTATTCTTTATAAACAACGAAATTTCGATTTAATGTTATACCGGAGAACAAAATAAATATATTACAACATTGAACGTATTTTGCTTTGATAAATCGGATTTCGCCACTTTAGAAAACAAAACAATCATTCCAATGTTCGTCATTCCAATGGATGAGTAACACAAGCATAAAATAACTGAAATATTACCTAAACGATGTTCTAGCATATAATGAATTACTTTGGAAGAATATAATTCATTTATATTATTAACATTCAAAACATTCAACTATATTTATTAATTCACAAAATTTAAGAAAGATTCTGAAGTAGAAGATTCACAGAATGAAATGCGAAATTTTATTAAATAAAATAGTGTCCTAATGGTCTCTTAATTTTCACTTAGATAAACATACATATATCTTCTCATATATGATATAATTTATGCGTGATACGTAATCTTAATTATCGATCAGATGATTAATTAAATATATCACTTGTATTTCGAATGATTTTATATTTGATTCGAGATATAAATGGAAAAATATTTCGAAATGAGAAAAAAAGTAAGCACATAATTTTTTCTTATGAGTACGATGGATATTAAAATCTCGAAAAAATAATAATATCATATGAGAAAATGTTTAATTTTATTATCTGTAATTCCTTTCCTATATTTTTGAATAATTTTAATAGAAAATTCTTAATTTCGACTATTTTTAAAATGAAAAACCTAAAAATAACAATGTCCGTCTTACGGAAAGATTGCAACGATTGTCATTTAAAGCTGTTATGATTTTAACGACTAAATGGAATTATCCAGACTCAATTCCATGCATTATACAATTATAAGCTTAAATGAATTATATATTATATGAGATGCGATAATTGGTATTGCGTACGTTCATCTATTTTACATAATACAATATAAATAAAAGACCAATAGTTGGGTGCAGTAGACAATTTTTTATAATATATTTTATTAAACTTGAAAAATATTAATATCATAAATTAATAATTAGTCTAATTAATATCATAAATGTCATTATTTCAATTATATGTGGTTTAAATTTAATGAAATATGCAGTCATTCGATCACAGTACCTGCGTTACAAGATTTAGGATTAGATTTCGATAGATCACAAGTAGTTGCGATCTATCGGTAAACAGGTATTTACTTTTATCAACATTTATTTAGTCGGCAAAACGGGAATCTACTATTCCCAAGTTTGTATTCGGTCAGTAAAAATAAGAATTTACTATTATCGATATTTTACGGTAAATTTATCGGTAAAATAGCAATCTGACATTACTGGTAAAATTATCGAAGATATATATTATTTAATCTTAGTCATAAGAATGAATATCTTAATATTTATTCGTCGGAATGTCTATCCATGACTCTAATTATATATTATTATGCTTTTAAGACTATCGTCTACTTGTTCAAGGTAGAAAGTTCAAAGAACATCATTATATCAAACTTTTTGTTCAAAAAAATGTTATAAACAATATTCACATCAACCTATTACCGATTCGATGAACAAGGTCTCATTTTAAAAATGAAGATTTATGTGAGGATATGGCTATTTCGAATTATTATAAAAGTTTTTTTTTTTTTTAATTCGTATCAACAAGTAATATTTCTTCGAGAATAGTTTGTGCATTAAGATAAAGCTTTTTAACAAATACGAGAAAGCTATGTTCTTGTTTAAATGTTCGCATTTAAAATAAGAGCCTGTTTATCAATGTGGATCATGAATTATGTCTGTACTTATTGCTGGCGTAAACTATTATATATAATCAAAGATGGTGGACAGTATTGATTGATCGTTATATTTTTCCCTAGGTATAACCAAAGTTGTAAAAAAAAATTTAATTATAGCAAAAAATTAGAAAATAATGTTAACATTTTACAATATTGTATTAATATGGATTATAAGAATATAAAAGAATGTATTTCTTATGCTTACTTGCATAAATCAAAACTGTAACATTGTGATAAAGGGAAAAAAATTGTTTAAAGTTTGTTACAAATAAAGATATTCTATATTAATTAAAAGGCAGTCAAACGCTCAATTTGATTAATCTAAATCATATTCTTAGATTAAATTCTTACTTTTGCATGTTATGCACTTACTGCATATTTTTGTAATAACATTAACTGTAGTTAAATTAATTATTGTGTGTGTGTGTATATATATATATATATGTATATATACATATATATATACGTGTGTGTGTACATATATATATATATATATGTATATGTATTTTCAAATTCTTTAAAATTTCTTTTCATAAATGGATTACAAAAATATTAGCTACCAATTACAATAATGCTGCTATACGTATTTACATTTAACAATTTGACACGTCTCTATCTATGTACATGTATTCGATGTAAAATTATTTTTACCAAATTTATATTATCCTTTCCAAATGACATTTTATAAATAATATATGTTGTTAAATAAGACATTTGCATCTCATGGAAATGCACGTACTGAATATAAGTAACACTTATTCAGACTTTCAAATTCCTTAACATTATGAAATGCAAAAATTTAAAAATATTATGGGAAAGTATAAAAATGTTGCCTTTACATAGTCTAACATTTTTTTTTTATAAAAACGGTTAATTGTCAAATTAAAATATTCTTTATATTTATGTGGGAGAAATCTCTTTTTTTCGTTTTTTGTTAAATATTAAAATTCTTTAAAAATGACACTAGTTTAAGGCAATGAGTGATGATAGCTACATTTATGAACATTATTCGATATGACTTTTTATATTAATGTGTTTCTATTTATTTTGCATTGGATTTATTATGCATTTTAGATATGAAATCCATTGCTTGGTTGTCTCCTTTCCTATGTTCTAAGGCTCGAATTACGTCCGTACCTTAAAAGAAACAAGTTACAATGTTCAAACAATTTTTTAACGCGCATGCACGCACGTACATAAATTTAATAATTTAAATAAATTAATTTTAATTCATACTTTTATTATTTGGCCGTGAAAGTTTTAAATGAATTTGTTCCATTGATTCCATTCCTTTTTCTGGTCCCACTTCTGGAATTTCACGGAATGATAGAAAGGCTTCAGCCATAAATCTAGTTCGTAAGAAATCCTTGTCTTTTATTTCAAAAGCCACTATGGCATCCTCTATAGCTCGTTGTTCTTCGGTAAGAGGACTATAATATTAAAACACAGCAAGATAACATAAAATGACATAAATGTACAGAGTTTACTTAATTAAATTAAACTTACATGTTAAAAGTTTCATCGAAAAGAGGGAACAAAGTTTCCTTTTGTACATGCGTCTTTGGTGTCTTGTTATCAATAAATTTTTCTTCCGGCAACAATCTTATTTTTACGTAAGAATCACATTTGCCTGTAAAAAGAAAAAAAAAAAAACGTAAAATTTTATGACATTTAAGTGATACTTTAAAAACCCCAATGTAGAACGAGACATGCACGGTGAAAGTGATTGTTGAAAGCAATCGACAGTTCATCAACGAGATTTTATTTAATTTAGACGATGAAATAATTTTAATATTTTAAGGCAATTTTTCAAAAATCTAGTTAATGAAAAAATCTGTCGATTTTCTTTATATCCGTGACAGTGTATTCAACTTTTCGAGCAAGAAAAATCATTGTGTCGATAAAAAAGAGCTAACATTTCTACTTGAAAATAACAATAATAAAGTTGATCCGTGCCATGCATTTTCAAAATCTAATCTCACTTAGGACAGGCAATCGACCAGTACGAGTCATGTAACAGCGATGAAATAGAATTTTACACGTCCACCTTTTTTTACATACTTTTCTTCGCTTCTTTCAGTCTTTGTTTAGATTTAGAGTGCAGTTTGCGCTCGAGAGTAGACAGCTTGCCTATAAAATCTCCTATAAAATCGAAAAATATGTCATTCTATGTCTACACCCCGTTACCAATTACCCTATTGCATTAGAAATATAATACATTAGAAAATATTATTCGTAATCCAATATTTTACTTTTTCATTCGTGTTGTTCATTATATTATTTGCCATTCTCGTACTGTTGATATTGCTCAAGCATTTTTTATAAACTTATGCTTTAGCTTTCTAAATTTATAATATATATATATATATATATATATATATATATATATATATATGTATTATATATTATATTATATATATATATATATATATATATATATATATATGTATTATATATTATATTATATATATATATATATATATATATATATATATATATATATATTGCGTAAACTTTTCTATTATGCATTAAAAAAAAGATAATTTCCTTTACCATTACTATCCATCGGTCGTAGATTTCTGGCATTGAGAATTTGAATGTTCAATGAATTGTTCAGGAACCAAGCTTTAACAGTGAGAAGACCATAGATAGTTTCTTCCATCTCTTTCTGTTCTTTCAATCGATCTTGATTATATCGATGAATAAGCTCAGCCGTTTCCAAACCATGAAGTTTCAAAAGTTCTTCAATCTTCTCTAAAACCTGCACGTTCGACGTTTCATCTGCACCAAGATTGAAAAATCTAATGAGTGTATGAAGTGTCCGGTGTAGATTAGAGTAAAATGAAGGTGGTCTTCTTTTCTATAAACAATTTTTAAAATAAAAAAGTTAAAATATATTTATTTAAATAAGTGAATTAATAAAATATATATTTCTTACTTCTAGATTACTATGAACTAACTGATAAAGTGTTTCAGACATTATTTCCCAAATAACTAAGAGAACTCTTTCAAAATTATCCTGGCTAAGATTATCGTGTAATATCGTTAAATTTGAATCAAGATATTGCAAAAGTCGATCCATCGCATTACTAGTAGTATCTATTAATTCTGCTCCTTCCATGAGATACCTACAATGATAAAATATTTTTTATAAAAATTTTGGATAATCTCTTATATATCTTTTTATAAGCACGAAGACGGTATTTAATTTTACCTCTTCATAGCAGGTGCCATTTTGTGCGCAACAACTTCTAATAATTCAATAATTTTATTTTTCACCGTGTCTGCCGCATTAGCAATGATTAGCTCAAGAGTTTGTTTGCAACGATCTGCTTCTTCTTCCGTCTTATTTTCTCCTAAAGCATCGACGATACCTTGAAGCCCTAAATCATTTGCCAATGGACCAATCGATGTTCTGATATAGTCAATATTATTAATAGCAAAGCACCAGGCATTAGATACCAAGAATTTTTTCTCATAGACACTATTTTCAGTAAGCTGTTCTAAATCTGTTGTAATCTCTGCTTTTGTAGCCATTTTGTCAGCATATGCAATGGAACACTTACAAATATCCTGTAACACCGTTTCCGTACTCAAACTAATATGATCATGAATATAACAAAGGAACAAAATTATAACAAAAAAAAAGAAAAAAAAAGGAAAATTAAAAAATATTAATAACGTACGTCTATAATTTTAGTGACAAATGTATAAGATCCTTCAACATCAGGCCATGCCAGTTGTGTCCAGAAAACTTTAATTTGATAAAAAATCGTTAATGTGTCAACTGCACTGGATGTATATTGTACAGTATTATCAATAGCCTGTAATGTATCAAATTCAACAGCTCTATCAATTCGTTTTATAGCTTTGTATACTGCAATATCTAACCAATGTGCTACACCAGCTTTAAACCAGTCATGATAATTTTGTATTTTCATAGGTTCCAATTGTCCTTCGGCACAGACTATCTGTCCCAATCTATAAAACAATTAATTAATTTAAAAGAAGATACGTTAAATGATCATTAAAATAATTTACTCTTTTAATATCTTACATAGCATATCGTTGAAGAGTTAGATAGAGTTCGAACAAAGTTGTACCAAGACTTAACTCGGAATCATTATTAGTATCGACTTCTATATGTTTCAATCTTGCACACACATCTTCCACAGTCTCCATGCACATGTCACTTATTTTTTTTTCATACATAATATACAATGTTCTTGTATAAGGAAAATTAATTTTTCTAAAAATAAAATTTTTACGTTTTATAAACGATTACATAACATAAAATAAATTACAATAATAATGATATACATTTTTATATAACTTACTTGATGAACAACTTGTCATAATAATCTATAGATCTTTGTAAATCTGCTCTGATTAATTGAATTACTTTAATATAATATCTTAATGTATCTTCATCCGATTTAGTCTCGGGAGTGGTATTACTTGCTATATGCTCAAACCTTTTAATGTATATAATCACCAATAATTAATATAAATCATATCAGAAAAATTATATACAAATAAAAGACATATATCTACCATTCGATACCGCCTTGTATAACTGTGTTCTCTAAACCTCGAATAACATCCAATTTCGTACCATCTGGTTCTGGAAACCAAGGATACATCTTTGCAAGAAATAAATCAAAATCTTCAGGAATTTTGAGAGTAGCAATAGATGATAATATCCTACAATTAAATAAATTAATGTAATTATTGTACTTTTGAAAATTTTATAATACCATGATCGAGAAAAATATACCCTAAAATAGCCGATAATTGTGTTGTGGCATTCTTGTCTCCTAAAATTAATCTCCTTATTTTCCTGATACTGTTTAAACAAGAATATAATAGTTTTCTTGTAGCATCCCAAAATAGTTTGGTTTCGTCCGTAGAAAATAATCCATTATCCATAGGTCTTAACAAATCGACTATCAATTTATTAAAAACCATAAAATTAAGTGGATGCTCTTGATGGATCCTGGCATATTCAATCCATTGTGCTAAAGCAATATTTCTAGCTAAAAGACCACGTTGTGCACTATGTTGGAGGATCAAAGCTTCTGCAGGACCTGACCATCGACCACACCAACAATATTTTTCAACTTTTTCGGTCTCAAGTTCATATAACAATAAAACTCTGAGTAAATGTCTATGTTCCTGAGCAGCAACTTGCGCATTATGTTCCGCGCTAAAAGCCAATTTTAATTTAACAACTCCTCGTCGTTTAGATTTATTTTTTTTCTCCAAAGGATACCACATCATGTGTCCAGTCGTTGGAATATCCTAAATAAAAAATTGATTTATAAATAAACAAATCTTTAAGTGACAAATATAGTTGCATTTTGATAGAAAAGGCTATCTCGAAAAATAATCACAATTGAATTATTATAAACTGAAGAATTATGAATACAATAAGATAACAGTATTACGTCGGCAGAAAATGTAACCAGATGTTCACATCAATGTAAATCTATTAAGGTCAAATAAGACAGTCATATGTACGAATAAAAGGTTCGATATGATCGATTATATTACTACTACGCTTCATGGCTACTTATTAATCTCTTCATAAGACAAAGAATTTTTTACACTTTACTATGGCTTCATTGTATTTATAAAAAATAAATATTAAATATAGCATTAATAGTGCTGATAGATATAATATTGAATTAGAAATTTATAATACCTTTAAAGGTATTCGACAACGTCCAATAAATTCATTATCATGATTACCAGTTGTGGCTGTTACAGCGATTTCCTTAGCAAGTTTCACGAGACCACGAACACCTTTAATATCTTTAACTTTACTTATTTTCTCAGGCACAGTTTCAGCTGCATCGAAATCCCTATTTAAACAAAAAATAAAAGAAAAACAAGACTAATATAATATATATATATATATGTATATAGTTTATCAATTATATTTCTTATTAAATTTAACTTGCAAAACATTTACCAAACTTCCAGGGATAGAACATCATTTTCTGGATCCTCTAAAGGTCTGTAAAACACATTTTAATTTCTTAATATTCATTTCTGAATAGTTAAAAACAATTCAAAATATAATTAATCTATTTATTTATCGATGATCTATATATATAAATATATATATATATTTATGTAAATATTTATTATCATGCACATATATAAAAATACTATTTCATATTAAGTAAATAATGTTACTTTTGCGATACGCAAGGTTCTATACAAAAGGGTTCTTCGCAAAGAACTGCAGAAATGTTGCCTACTGAAGGGGCATAAAAAATTTTCATAGTGATAGATGACGCTCACATATAACATTAGCAACTGAATATTATACAGGTGCATAATAATCGCATTTAGAAAAATAATTATTAATCATCACAGATACAACTCACAATTCAAAATGTTCTTCCCATACTGGGCTAAGAGTGGACGTTTTTACAGCCGTATTGTATCTTCTAGTAGGAGCTGATTCGAGATAAAGAGCGCAAAAAGGATCGCTTTTTCCATTAGCATCTTTGGATACCAATTCCTTGGCTTCGATCACTTCTACATTGAGATGCATTTCTGGAGCCTAATAACAAATAAAAATAATACTCATCCATATCGAATTTTGATTAACTCGATTTATAATTAAAATGATTATAAAAATCTACCTCCATGTTTTGCGTTTCTTCCAATATTCTTTCATGAGTTTCATTGTCGATCTTGAATGCATTTTGCAGATGATTTAACAGAGCTTCTTGTCCACATTCGTTAGAAACGTCATAGCCGATTTGATGTTGTGTCATATACACAAGAGCCGTGTAAAGTTCCTCGATCTGTAAAACGTACGTGATAAATTAAATAGATTCACTATCGATTACCTATTTTATTACCGCACTCTTAACATAAAAATAATAATCTCATAATATTGTCAGACAGTTCAAATTTTATTTAATAAGTCTGTTGAACAGATATCTAATAAAAATCCATTACCCGGTAGGTTTTTATCAAAGAGAAACCACAACGATAATACATGTATCTATACATGTATTTCATACTTTTCTTCAAGAAACAATCACTTAAAGATATTTATTAGAACAAAAGGTTTAATCAGACTCCAAAGTTTACTTTCAAAATACTCAACAAAGAAGCTCCGTTACAATTGTATTGAAATACATCAAGTTCACACAATCTAGTAAAAAATAAACGTAGTTTGTTATAATTACAAAGATTATAATATGGACATATAATGCAGATACTAATTTGTAAGAACGAAGCAAATTTTAATGTAACGACAAAAAATATATATGATTTTATTTCAAAAAATGAATTTGACTTAAAAATTTTCGCCACGCCTCGACTTGCAATAAAATAATTTACACTATATGATTATGTCCCTCTTCATATCAAACATTTTTTGATATGTTCGATCTTCTACGTGATATTCCAACACGTATGAATGGAATACTTAAAGAAACACTCTAACTATGTATATGTATTCTATATATATATATATATATATATACATTACATTATACAAACATATACATTACACAATAATATATTCATTCCTCGACAAAATAAACTCACCGTCATTGCTTGTAGAAGAACATTAGTTCTTCTTTCAACTTCTGCTTTTGGTATTCCACGAAAATTATTTCTTTTGCGATCATAGATGCTCGCCCCACCGGGCGAACTAGTGCTAACCATTTTGTCGTTCACGCAAATATCATTCTCACTTATATCAAATATAAATAAAGATTAACAGCGTCGTTGTATTCGTTGACACTTCACCTTTGTTTTAATATAAAATGATAATGAAATGGACCCTCATCGAACTATAGAAATGAATGTTTTGCACTGTCACCACATTTATTTATAGACAATTCACGATTGGCCTTAAGAGATCAGATCATCGTTGAATGTTGGCATTCGTTTTACGATGAGGCTATAGATTTTGGAAAGAAGAATTTAGGACAAGGCGATAATGACCCACAGAATATCACGTTTTAGCCAAGAATAATGACCATGTTTATGCACCATAAGTTCTCCTTATTTAGGAATCGAAAAACATAAATAATGTCGAGCTTGAGAATCTTACTTTTCTTGTTTATTATATTACAACGAGCTTCTTCTCGACTAGACAAAGAACTTCTGTATCATATGTTCACTGAGACAAAGACGTACGAATAATGAATAAAGAGTTCTCACACAAGTCAAGAAAGATTTACAAACACTTATTGTGACATGATCGAAAGCTTACAATGATCTATCATTGCAAACGCCACAGCAGTACATAGTAAAAACGAGATAAAAATTCTCTAATAAGGACGAACGAAAACAGCGTATTCGTCGGCTAACTTACTTACGTTTTTACTTAAACAAAACTGAACTTCCATCATGACCTTTTCTTATCAACCATACAACAGACCGACGCATATTTGATCATGCGTGTACATAATCACGAGTCATCTAATTAAATCCATTCGTAATACATCGATAAACTTGTATTCTTTATTTTTATCGAAATAAAAGTTTCATGAAAAAAAAATTTGCTTAATAAAATCCAATACTAACACTATTATTATTATTATTATTATTATTATTATTATTACTATTATTATTATTATTATTATTATTATTATTATTATTATTATTATTATTATTATTATTATATATTTATATTATATTACATGCGTGTATGTGTGTATAATATAATCAAATTATACAATTCGTAGGAGAGAATAAATAATTAAAATTTATAGAAAGATGTTTCAATCAAATCAGAGAAATTATACGAAATAATAATTACTTACATTGATTGATATGAAAAAAATCAACTTTCACAAACAAATAAAGAACGGATATATACAACTTACTCGTTTTACAAGAGAAATATATGGCGGAGTGCTCTTTTTTTAGCATCTTCGTTACGTACGTCATAGAAAGAGAGACCAATAAGAATGCGGTAACGTATAGTACAAATAGTTGATCCTTTGCCATTGCTTTAGAAAGAAATCTCTTGATAAATTTTACTCGTAAACGAGAATATAAAAGAAACGATTTGTACGAAAAAGAGAATATTCGAAGCTTCGCAAAATACAGTATGTTTACAGAAAGAATATGAGTCAAAAAGTAACAAAATATATCTAATAGTAGGTCAACATTGTAGCTTTCTGTCACATCGTCGTTAAATCGACTAGACTTGCCAAGTGCAATTGACTCTGACAATGAAGTTTCCTGCGTCTTAAGATTCTCCTATTAAATTGTTTATTTCATGAACCAAAGTTTATTTTATCAAAACAACAATACAATCCTAAGGGTTAAACATACCTGTTACTAAATACATGGATCTTAGTATTAAGAATAAAAGAAAGAAATATTACTAGAAATAAAATTTACTAGATTCACTTGTATTCATTGAAAACTTTATATTCGTTCTCACGTCTTATATTCGAAAAAAATAATATCAACAAAGAAATATAATAAGAGTACGAAAGTATGTCGTATCCCGTTTGACCCACAGGACAAATGCAACTACAATGCGTTCGTACGTTCACACAATTGTATCCAATGAAAGTTGATATACCGGCAATTAGCTCGTTGGCCATCAAGGCACACACCGAGATAGAACACCCGGTATGCGAAGTGTATACGAGCGTATACATGTAATATGTAGATACGCGAGACTATCGTCCTTCCTACTCAGCTGTCGCCCAATTTTCGTTAAATTATGCAATTTTCTTTCGGTCCAATTTTACACATCATTCTATTTCCGAATCCACGTTATGTGGGTGAAGTTCATTCAAGAATTTTATCCATCTTTATTGTCCTATTTTGGATTTAAAATTTTACCAAAATTTCACACAGTTTTCTTTTTTCTTTTCCTAAGTATTTTTTTTTTTATTAATAATATAAATCTACTATGAATGTAATGAATTTTTCAAAAGAGCAACGAACTTCTTGTTACAAATAAAAAAACGTTACGTTCGTAGTAAAACAAAAATTCAATTTTCTTTTTTTTTTTTTTTTTTTTCAAATGTTACTTCTGACAGTTGGCCAATTTTTTAAATTATCTTACAGAGAAGATTGCTTAACCTAATTTTCTGAGTAACAGTCCAGTTTTATATCTTGAATAAATCCACACACACGCATTTCCACACGGAATCGAACTAATGGAAAGAGTCGAGACAGAAGCTCGTCGATTGAAACCAATTAATTCATCTTATCATAAGAGAGAGAGAGAGAGAGAGAGAGAGAGAGAGAGAGAGAGAGAGAGAGAGAGAGAGAGAAAGAATGAGAGAGAGAGAAAGAGAGAGTGAGAAAGAGAGAGAGAGAAAGAGAGAGAGAGAGTGAGAAAGAAAGAGAGAGAGAGAGAGGGAGAGAGAGTGAGAAAGAAAGAGAGAGATAAAGTTGATTACTTTTAAACGATTAATAATCATAAATCGATCAGATGAAAAATCTTCATAAGCATTGGCCTTATCGAATATGTTATAAATAATAATTACATTTCACGTTTCAAAGATCCTTCAATACAAAGGCAACATTCAAGTCTCTTCTAACACGTAACACTTCCCTTTAAATCGATTCAAAACGAAAAATTTTCTTCAACAAACTTTTCACGGAACAAATTAGATCTGTGATCTATAGATCTATTTATCGATTCCTAGTAAAATCACAAGTAGCAGAAAGCTCATACACTCCGTTAATTTAACTCGAACACGCTGTTGTCAATATAAAAAAAAAAAAAAAAAAAAAAAAAAAAGAAAGAAAGAAAAAGAAAAGAGAAGAAAAGAGAAAATAAAAACAATCAAACACTATGAGAGAAAGAAAAAGAGAGACAGATCAGGATAACGTTCGCGTGAAGAAGAGAAGACAGGGACTTGGCGGAGGCGAGCTCAATACTGCCAGGAATAGATAGATCGTTGGGATCAGAGTCGTCGTTGGTCGTCGTCGTCGTCGTCGACAACGACGACGACGAACACTAAGAATCACGTTTCGAATGGAACTTAACTGCTCCGATTGAGCTTGCAGGATAATACTACCTTAACTATCATTATTTCCTTCTTCCTTCCTCGCTCTTTACACTTTTCTCTCCCTCTTTCTAACTTTCTCTCTCTCTCTCTCTCTCTCTCTCTATCTATCTTTCTATCTATCTATCTATCTATCTATCTATCTATCTATCTATCTATCCATCTATCTATCTATCTATCTATCTATCTATCTATTTATCTATCTATCTATCTATCTATGTATTCATCTCCCCTTTTCGATTCAGTTAGAATGTGAATCTAGTGTAAGTGTACGCGAGTTCGGCTATCGGTCATAGAATTGCAAGAATCAAAATAGAAAGGCTGTCATTATCTAGACAAGAGTACTTTATAATTAGGTTTTTTTACAAACTTAGTACTATCTTTTTCTATCAAAGAAAATAATCGAATCCTTTAATCTCCTTTTCTTCCGCTACTTATTCCGTACCAAACTAGGAAGTAATAATTATGCGATCGAACATACTTAAAATAGATTTTAATAGACAAGAGATCGTTGGATCGTTGATGAAAATTAATTAATCTTTCACCTGAACTAAAATCATTGAAAATTATACGAATGAAAGGATCGTGTGAAACTACGAGGACGTTGCTTTCTTTAATGATGTATTTAAACTCGACTTTGAGACTTCTTTTCGAATTAATATTCTGGACGTTCTACTTTGATTGCTCCTTTATCTCTCGATTGTGACAAAAGTGGACGGATTTAACAGAACGGGAAGTCCTTTTGTGAAGTAATGTTTATATCTTCATTGTTAACCTTCTATAAGTCAATTTTTTTTTCATGTCTTAATACAAAAATTATATACTATGAAAATTCTATTAGTATAAATATAACATATGTCTAACAAACACTAAAACGATTAATTTTGTATGATAAAAAAATTAAATATAAATTTTGCATGACTTTGTAAAAGATAAAACGTATACATTTTTTCTTTCTTTCGTACCATTTACGATCGATGTTTGTCCATTTAATAAACATTTTGAAAATCACGAATATTTTATAAAAAAAATATCATGCAATGTTCATAATCGACTCATTGAACTTACGTTTACTTCCTCGTTTTTTACGGAAACAGGGCCAACAAACATGCCCAACTGCATTGCGCACCATTGTGACTCATTAGTCAAGCAAACCTTTACCACTCGCTTGACCGAAACAAACTATTACGACAACAGTTTGAACGAGAATGAGAGAGTAGCTTCGTCTACCCTTCAACGAATCAGCACGTAACCTTCAAAAAATCAATATCAGGACGATCGTCAGGACTCGTGTGAGGGTAAATCTAATGTAAACAATAGACGAGTTATCGATCCGACAGTTAGAAATGAATTAATCATCCGACTATACTATAATAAAATTATCGATCGATCATTTCCTTAAAATAAATTGTCATAAAATAAAAAATAAAAAATAAGAAAAAAGAAGAAGAAGAAGAAGGAAACTATCTTGTCCTTGACATTTCTTTTTATGATTCAATAATATGCAATCATGTGACTTTGTTAAAAAAAACTTTGTTATACGTACATTATTTTATATAGAAGTATCAAGATGTAGTATTATAACGTGATATCGATCAAATCGAATAATTAGAAACGAATGTGTGCAAGCGTTAGTACAATTATGTTCTATATATCTAACGATTATCTTGATCAGGTTCTGATTCAAATTATTGTGAGATAGTGGCATACTAAAGCAAAAAAGAAGATACGTCAATTCTAACAGTTGCTTTTCTTAATTCTTAAAAAGCAAACCCTTATATTCCATGCCACCTTCATTTAGATATAGAATATTCAAGATATTTCTTAGTGCGTATCTACGTCAGTGCTGACGTGAGAAATGGATAAGACGAGCATCGACGTCGTTTCAACAGAATTAAAACGATTCGTTAATATCTTCAACAAGTCGACTCACTAGTTTTCCTCTGAGATTAGATCTTCATTCTCACGATGGAAATAAAGCGAATCTAAAAAAAGAAACTCTCCAACGAACAGCTTGCTATCTCGTGACCGAAATATGTCGAATAGCTTTTTCGACTTTTAAATTTACGAGCATTTTAAGTATACCATGTGAAAAATCTACAAGGATTCGAATGATTTAAACTTTGAATAGATAGTCAGATTTATGTATTCGTCAGAGAATTGCTTCAAATAAATATGACGTTCATCCTATATTAAACTATTATTGTACTAATATTATAATAAATTTGACGTAATCCAACAAATTCGTCGAAATCATCGATTATCAATTTCTACGAACTATATTAATTTATATGATATATATTTATAAATACATATATATGTTTTAAGTAAATTTGAATTCCAAATTTCAATTCCATTTTATCCTACATCGAATTTATTATTATTTTAAGTTTGTAATAAATTCAACGTAATATAATGAATTCTTTTTTTATTAACGAACCCGTTATAGTATATTAATTTTTTGTTAACTATATTAATATAAAATTAACTTACGTTCAATCCAACGGATTCGACCAAAAAATTTTGAGCATGTTCTTTCTCGTCTCGATCACTGTCAGTTTCTAACAAAGCTTCAGATGGTTCCTCGATGCTTCCTTCTTCGCTCAAATTATCCTCATCTTCAGCTTCTACTTCTTCCTTCTTTTTCGGAAGAGGTCCTTCCATTTGTTCCTGAGCACGTACTTTTTCAGCCAGCAACGTGCCAAGATTTTCGAAGAAGCCGCCATCGGTCTCTTGTATCCTGTAGCAATCAAAATTCAATATATTCCTCATGTTCCATTAGACTATTTTTCTGATGATTTAATCAAATCAGTAATTCGACAAACATGCGAACTTCTTTTTCCTTGTCGGCGTTTGAAGAAACAAACAAAATGATGAAGAAGGAAAAAACAATCGTACGTATTTTTCTCAAACTAACGGCTCAATGCCAAATTAATATATTGTCTGTTACCAAGCTAATATGTATTTAATTATTATATAATCAATTTCACGTTCGTTGAATAGGTAATACAGTAAACAAAAAACAAGAGACTTTTAATCGATTCGTTTACGATTGCTTTCACGAACGCGATAACGTTTACGTCAAATAGGTCGGAACTTTTAAACGAGTTGCAAAATAAAAAGCGGAAAAATCAAGTAAAATGTTGCTTCGATCGAAACAAATGTGTATTTTATCATCCACATACGTTGCATTTTTGTTATGCGTCTAGTCGTTTACGAAAGTCATGAAAAAGTATTGAAATGTTTGTAATATTAATCGACAAATAAAAAAAATAAGCGATCATATCTAATAAATAAGTCTTTCTACTACAAACGAATTCGTAACATTACGAGCACGTTTCACCTTTTATGAATAAAGTTGAATGCTGCGAATTTCCAATAGATGCTAGCTGTAGTGACTGCTTTGGTTTCAGGTTTTTGCCACATACGAGCAGCGGCGATCGCGTAATAAGGATGTTTCTCGTCCATTTTATGAAAATGTGCCATTTTGTATGATCCTTTATTCCTTTGGAAAAAAATATGAATCGTCTTTTAAATTCGAAGTTTCGACGAGAAACTTTACATATCGTTCTCTACATATCGTCGTTTTACATACATATATCCTTCCAAATGTAACTACGGTTTACGATTATGACCGAATAATATTATTACTTCTCGTATTATCAACCCAGCGATAATGCCAACTTCGTTATTCAGGAATGTATCGATAAAAGCGACGATTCAAACCTTGATAACATCATCATAGAAGCACACTCACTTTGTTTCGATAATGAACGCGAACGATAAACTGCCTTTCGTTACCTTTGTAATCCCGTTTTAACACAAAGTGTTAATTATTGTTGAGTTAATTCCTTGAAAATTGGAATGAACTTTCAATGAATACGTTCCAAGTACTATGGTATTCCCTTTTGCTAAGCTTTAACTGACAGACCTATGGTTTCCGCGTGGAGAACACGTTCCATTGAAATTATTTCGTTTCTAAGCTTTAAACTCGCAATGATCATTTACGAGGAAATGATAATCACATAGGAACACGAAGAACGTAGGGAATTTTGCGATCGACGTATATATATAATAAGTTTATACGTAGCTCGTGAGAAATCTCGTGTAGGCTGAATCGTGTCTCCTTAGAAACTGTTTAAAGAAGACTCGATTCATACAGGTAGATCGGAGGATAATAGGTAGGAGGTTGTGTATATATACATCTGTATATATGTCTAATATATCGCGCTACTAAAAAATCATCGCGAAGGTCAAACACTGAAAGTAAACCATTCGAAAGTCATACAATTTATTTTATTTCACTTTTATAAATGTTTCTTCAATATTAACATTTTCCCGTAAATCTTCGCTGATATAATCTTATAGAATTTGAATCATTTAAAAAGACTTTTATTGCGATAAGATAACGGCAAATTAATTTATAATCTATACTTAACCTGTAATATGATACGAATCGTTTGCGAGCTCATTGTTGTGTGATTCATTATGCAAACTTCAATAAAACGATGTACATATATATATATATATATATATATATGTTTTTTCTTTTAACGAAGAAAATATAAAAGCATTTTCTAACTTTTCTCAGCGTGAAATTAAATTAATCCATTGAGAATTAACTTTCGACGCACCTTTCTTTATACCGTGCGCATAGAGAATAGACGCTATAAATATACACGAACTTTACTTCTAGAAAATAAAACTAAATCGAAAAATCAATCGACTTACGTCAATGCTGTTGATATTTACGACTTTACGTAATTTTGTTGATACTTTTTCTATTTTTGTAACCTTTTTTTTTTTTCTTTTCTCGCATTTGGAAAACGATGAATGATTCATTCATTTACCGATACAAAAAGTACACGCGCGATAAAAGGGGCACTTTATAAAAGTATAATATCTACATTTTTTTCTTTTCTATGAACATTTTTTTATATATTTACGATTCAAATTCATATATTACGTAACGTACTCAATGCAATGAAATATATTCATTTTCACAATTATATGACTTTTCTAGGATTCTCCGTCCATTCACCTAACGTCAATGACATCGATGCCTTCAATCTAGTTTCCTCATTCGCACGAAATCAGGAATTTCCTGTAGAAAAATGATGTGACGTAGGCTGTACTTTTTGAGATCAATCATGAGCAATGAGTAAAGTAATTTATCTCGAAGATGATAAGGTTTTGCAACACACATGTTCCCTCTTTCCCTCTCTCTTTCTCCCTATCTCTTTCTCTCTTTCACTCACTCACTTTCTATCTTTTTGATGACGGATCATCAACACAAATAAAAGTATGAGACACGAGACTAATTCTTAATACTTAAAATCGATTCCACGAGATGTTTCATATCCTTATAACAATAAAGGAATACGACTTATCGAGTCGTTGAATTATTCATGAGTTTTCAGGCTAACGCCAGGAACAATGAAACTATATTAATATGGATTTTCCGACTTTCGCGTTATCTTTCTACTTCCATCAATGATGATTTATTTCAACAATTGTACCAAATTCAATTGGAATAATTTGCATATCATTCAAAAAAGAAAAAAAGAAAGATTCTTCTTAGGTATAGATTATATATATTGATATGAAATCGTAACGACTCAGAAGAAAATTATTCGTAAGATGAGCACGTACGTATATCCCGGTAGTTCGTCACCGTTTAAGGAGAGACAGAATGCGAAATATTTACTGTTTAAATTATACTGTTTATGCAACACATACTCCACGTGTAAGGTGTCGAATGGCAAGAAGAGACCAAAATGAAATATTTTTTTTCAACGGATGAACCGTATTTAACAAAATAATCATTCTCTTCCGGATGAAATTCTTTTTTATTTCTATTAAACGATATAAAACTTTAACCATTAAATTCTACAAAAAGGGAACACGTTAGGTAATAAGCTAGTCTGCCAATGATGAATCATGAAATGTTAGAAACAACCTTGAACGTTCTGTTGGATCATAGAGAAACAGAGACGGAGACAGAAAGAGAGAAACAAAGAGAGAGAGAGAGAGAGAGAGAGAGAGAGAGAGAGAGAGAGAGAGAAAGAAAGAAAAAGAAAGAGAGAGAGAGAGAGAGAGAAAGAAAAAGAAAGAGAGAGAGAGAGAGAGAGAGAGAAAGAGAGAGAGAATGAAAGAAAGAAAAAAGAAAAAAAAACGAGAGAGAGAGAGAGAGAGAGAAAGAGAGATGTATTTAGGAGAGCACTGGCATGCAAATGCGACGGTAAAGACTCTACCTTGCTTATTCTCAATTTTATAAATAGATTCTGACACCAGCAATATAACAGAAGCAGTTGCATCGTAAACATGTTCAAGATATAAAACCAATAATTAGTTTAATAATAACGTATTATCACATTTTTGTTAAAATTTTATGTATAATTATAATTCGAATGTTAGAAAAGAAAAATATTTTTTAAAACACAATCGATCGTTCGAAATTAGATCTATTTATATTGTAGATTTTCTTATCGACTGTGCTGCATATATATATATATATATATATATATATATATATAATATATATATATATAATATATATATATATATATATATATGTATGTATGTATGTGTGATACACATCATACACACACAACACACATACACATAATATATCTGTCTATAGACTTTGTCAGACTGATTAATATTTTAGTTGATTTTCATTTAACCTTGAAGAAAGATTTACGTTTCATTACCTCAACTCGTGATCCGTACGTTCCTTCTGTTCCTTCTCTTTCATCTCTTTCTCTTCCACAATTTTGTGGTAGAAATTCTTCCACATGGCATCCTCGTCCATCTTGATAATTGATCGATTTTGATCACAGTCACGAATAATGATCAATATGGTCAATATATATTTTTATATCCAATAAATACTTTAAAAAAATATATCATTTTCGACCTTGATTATTATATTATTTTTATTATTGTTATTTTTTTTTTGTTTTACACAGAGACGTATACACAGTCACACACACACATATACATTATTTCTTTCTCTTTTTTTTTTCTTGTCTGTACCGTTATGTTTCGTAACAATAAAAATGACGAACAATCCTCGATTTTCTTAAGACGTACGCGCACGTAAGATTTTTCTTTCGTAAGAATACTAGGAGTAACGATACGTACAGGTATATCGATTTTCCGTGAGGAAATACAATGAGAGATGCCGGCTGACAGTTGCGCCGATAGAACGAACACGTCGAGGCAAGACTGTCTTTACTCTGCAGATGATCACGTAGAATCTCGTAACTTCTCATACACCCGTTAGATGGCAGTCATAGCCAACAAGAGATTCACCAATGAAAACTGTACGATATATTCATACATGAGTACATATATAAAGATATATAAAATATATAAAATACATGTATAAAAGCACATATTATTTTTTATAAACCAAATAATATATATTTGTGTTAATACGTATAAATCTATATAAGTAGACTTATGGTTGAGATAAAAAGAAAAAATAAAATAAAATAAAATTAAAAAAAATAAGTCCTTCTGATAAAAAAAAATTAAAAATTCCAATGATTTGCACGTAGTAAAATTTAAAGAATGACATTAATTTGTAATATTTCAAACGTCCTTATCGAAAATCGTTCAAATTCACCGAGTAGAAAAACTATAAAAGATGAAAGAGTATTTTTTAAGAGATCAGTTTTGCCAATATGCGTTCCAAGAGAATTCTCTTCTTTTTATGTCTTGGTAAAATCATCTAATATAAATTAAAAGTATTTCCTTGATAGAATAATTCATATTAATAACATAAATATATTTTATTTTTAGGAAGTTTGACGTCGAAGATCTTTACAAACAGTTATTATCGTCAGTTGAAATCATGGACGAATGATTCGTTAGACACATTTATAAGTTCGGAACACGTGGATCCAGCTGAACGAGCGATTGAAAATTTTTTAACAAAATTAGCTGGTCCGATATCAAGACCGATAACACTACGAAAAACTTCTAATGAAAAATATGGCCTTCAACGAACGATTTCTGAAATTTGTCACGTGATACGAAGAAATTTAATGAATTTTGCTAAAACCTGTGAATTAACGTCAACCGTTAATCGATATAAACAAAATTCGGCTATTCATAATATCAGATCTAACGATTGGTTCCCTGAAATTTTACTTCGAGGTTCATTATTACTACACGATTTAGGAGGAATCACAGAAGAAGTAACGTCTTCCGTTGATCGTTATCTTTCTAGACACAATTTTAATTTACCTAAAAATAAAGTGAGTTCATTTTGATATTCCACGTTTTATTCTGATGTAATTTATTTTTTTTTTGTTTAATTTATTTTAAGATACTTTAAAATCCGTGAACAGGTGTACAATGCAAAGAAGAATCCCCGATTTTTAGGAACGATCGATGATCTTTCAGAGTTCAGCGATCGATTATGGGAGTGCACGAAATCGAAAACAAGAAATAATCGAAACACAATTTCTATTCTCAGTGAAGCTTTTGCTAACTTGGCAAAGGATTCACCTGAACATATTCTGAGAGTTTATAAATCTCGTTTGGACGTTGCTTTAGCAAACGATTCATTGAATAATAATGGTTCATCACTCGGTCAACTAAATGTTCTCTTTTGTAATCTTATTTCCAATAATTCTAGTCATTTAAATCATAAATGTATCACGGAATTCAAACGTCTTAGTGAGTGTATGTTTACTCAAAAACATAATCCTACAAAGCATTCGCACGATAGGATTAATAATCATAAGAGTTTCCTAAGAAATCATTGGCTAAGTGGAATCGAAGATATAAGTAATTGTATCGCCGTGTTCGATGACGATGGAAATGCGAATGTGAGGTGTAAAACGAGACGAAGAATACCGGAAGATCCTGGTCATCGAATAAAATATATTTACGAGAGTCTATTAGAACAAAAATTATCAAGAAAATCACCTTTATATCGAGTTGCGAATGATCTAGGTAATGTTCTTTCGATGACACCTTGGGGTAGGCAACTCATCGAAGATACATGTTACTATCTTTCGATTTATCAAGATGGAGTCAAGAAAATCAACAGATTGTCGAAATTTCAAAATAAAAATAAAAGAGCAACTGCAAAGTATGTACGATAAATTTATTAATCATTTTGTTATTCATGTGATTAATTGAATTAAATCTATTTTAACATTGAAATCACATCATTTCCTAGATATAAGAAAGTGTCTAAATCTTTGGAATTATATAAAAGAGGTTTACTTTTAAAAACATTGGAAGCAATTGATAATATTCATCGTACGACGATCGAATTCGAGAAGATCATTGTGAGCGGAATTAAAACGGCAATGAACGAGAATTGGTACTGTCATCTTCAAATTTTCAACTGTGTTTCCGATTGGATGACAAAACTTTTTTTATTCTACGATTACGAAGAAGAAAAGAAAAACGAGACGATATTGACGACTACGTTGCAGCCTTCGTTGTCAATAGAATCGGATGAGAATTCCTATGAATTATCTGATGTATTATCTGACGAAGAAGATGATAGTGAAGAAGAAAAAACTGCTTTAATTATGACGAAAAAAGGTAATCATAAAAAAAAAATTTCTTAATATTTCATAACTATTATAAAAATAAATCCACCATAAATGATCGTGCTAAAAAAAAAAAATCTATTCCATCGAATGTTACAGCGATGAAGGAAGCTGCGGATAAATCTTTCGAAAAGTTAATTCGATCGATGAATCGTGTAAACGTCCGCACGGCGAACGAGAAAAGCATCCTGGTTAATCTCGCGAATAATTTATTGCTAACAGCTATGTTCATGGAAACTATCGGTTTCGTTTCTGTGTTGTTTTCTCTCGGGAATGCTAATAAAGAGGAAATGAATTCGTCCGAAATAAGAGACGAATGGCTACAAAAACACAAACATAGATCCTTGATCTTCGAAAGATAACCCACGAAATTGAACCGAAGTGATGCAGAATGAAGATATATCATTTCAAATGGAAATTCTTCGAAAAATAATTTTTATGTTCAACGATAAAAAAATAAATATGAGAACTTATGAATGAGATAATTATCAAGAATAAATATAAATAATGTATAAATAAAATATAAAATTATTCTGTACGTATATGTACTTATATCTAAATAAAATGTTATGTTGCAAGTAAAATTATTATTGACGTCATCAAACAATTCGTATAATACTCATCTATGAAATTAGTTATATAAATTTTGAGATAATCTTCACAATGTAAGATATTGTTTATGAAATACATCTTACAAAGAATATTCTAACTTTAAGCTATAAATTTTGTCATGTTACATAAACTTAAGATTAAAAAATCTATAGTTCGCATTTAAATCATTGATAAACAATAATATGTTCTAATAAATTTATGATTTACGACTGCTTACTAATCTTAACTCTAACGATGAACGAAAAAGTAAAATAAATTAAGGAAATGTAATTACAGTGACATTTACGAAGAATGACGCATCAAATGTTACAAGTAATAAGCAAGTGCTCTACTTCCCAACTCGTATTTTAAAAGAATGCTTTGGACCATCGTTTTCATTTGCTTAATATGTAAGTAGACAAAATATTTCTGTTATTTGTAAATATAATTCATTTAAAAATCTTTTAATATTCTCAGATTCTCATATTGGACGTAACGAACAAGAAACGCATAATGTCAAACCTAGAATTATCGGAGGATATAATATTAATATCAAATCGCGTCCATTTATGGTTTTCATTTTTATTTTCCAAATCGTTAAAAATCTCATCATTCTACAAAAATTCACATAAAAATAAATTTCCAGGTATCTCTTCATGATGAATTAAATGATTTTCAATGCGGAGCAAATATATTGTCAAAAAGATGGGTCATTACTGCGCTTCATTGTTTGTAATAATAACTCCTACATTTACTCTTTAATCTGTATTAATATCTTATACAATGTATTGTACACGTATATTTAATTACATGTTTTCAGCAATTCCATAGATAAAAACGATTACTACATTCGTGCAGGGTCAAATTATACCGATCACGGTGGTACATTACACAGAGTTAAAAAAATTTATGTTTATAACGAAACGATTTATCCATATTGGTCTACGAAAATATACTATCATGATATCGCCCTTTTCAAAGTGACACCATCCTTTCGATTCTCTTCGACGATTCTACCGATTGGTTTACCGAACAACAATAAAATACCACGGAGACTTTACGTTTCTGGCTGGGGACATACTTCTTTGAACGTAAAAGAAAAAAATAATTAATTAATATTTTTATCATCGAAAGAATTTTTTGTTCTTTTTTTTTTCAGAGTAACTCTCATCGTACTCTGATGACTGTGAACATTCCTTACGTTCCATTTAAAGCCTGTGTCAACTCTGTACCATTGTATAAATTACTCGTTAGAAGGGATCGTCATCTCTGTTACGGTAGACGCGGCAAGGATTCATGCTACGGAGATTCCGGCGGTCCATTGGCTGATGCTTGCACAATTTATGGCATCGTATCCTTCGGCCATAATTGCGGCGAGGTTTCTGGAGTTTACGCAAAAATCTCTTACTATCGTGAATGGATCAAGATTATTACAAAATTATAAGTCAAAGTGTATGTACAAGATAATCTTATCTTTGATAATTTCCACCTTTTGATTTCATTTCTATTACAACTTTTAATTCTCGTAAATTTCCTCGAAAGTCATATCTTTATATTTATCTATACGTATTCTTGTAGATAGGAATACATAAAATAAGAAAGTTTAATAAAAGATTATATTACTTCTGACACATATTTATGTATCTGTCATTTTACACAAATTTTTTCGTCATAAAATTAGTTCATTCATATACGAACGTTCGTTAAATATAAATTATATTTTTAATATAGTATAATACAAATTATATTAAAGATTTAACATTATATAAATTTCTCTATGAACATGAAAAAAGAATAAGTTGTAGTGAATCAAAAGTTTCAATTAAACTTTGTTACAAAAAATAAAACAAATATTAAAATTCTAAATTAAATAGATACGAATCGTTCAATTATAATAACATTATCAAATATCTTTAAAAAAATGATAAAAATGAATAAATAAATGATCGTAAAGACTTCGTATCACGTTACTGTGTTTTCAGGAAAGTAGATAGGACAAGTCGAATCACGGAGCGTGGACCCCAGCGCGTTCAGGTCCGATGGACACAGGAAGTCCATTACACGCGTGCCGCGCAACAGCGTGTCATGCACACACGCGCGTGAACGTGTCTCTTTATCTTCGTGCAGGGTCGAAAAAAAAATAGTACATTTATTTTATGAAAAGAAACAATCATTTTCATTTTCTTTAAGGAAACGTATGTAGAAAAATGACGTAAAAATTACAAGAGAATAATTTAATAAATAAAAAATTCGCTTCGTTGAAAGACAAAGACGAACGAAGACAAACAAAATTATAAGTTGTTGGAAATAGAACGTCTTTTCTTTTACCTTCGGCCCTGAACTTGTAGTACTTATGTTAGAGACTATCGTTTACCAAGCTGACTCATCCACACCTGAACATTTCTATGCGAGAAGATTGCATGCTTTTCCGTTCGCATTTCCGAACCTTTGTAAACTCTCCCCTTACTACAGACAATTTAGTAAATATCTTTGTAAAAAAGAAAAAAGCGTGAGAAGTACTCTATCACTGAATTACATCCGTTAGTATTACCTTTGTTATTGTATCAAATATAATAAAGTTCGTTCTTACATGAAAAGTAATTAATCGATTTTTCTCATGTGTTATATATATATATATAATGAATATATTGATACGTGACTCACCCAACTATTGCAACCGGATAAATCTTATTCCGTAGGCTTTTCAGTATCTCACGTTTTAGTTTCAAATACCACGAATTATTACTTTTAGAATTGCAGTACTTTTGCGAAACACTGTTAACTCGAATACTCTCCGTAATTTCGTCTTTCGTCACTGACTCCCATTCCGATACTGCCGATACTTCTTCCACGGCCACATAAATAAACGAATCCGAAGAGTTCGAATTGGACGAAGAGGTCGAATAATTTGTTCTCGTTTTTCGTTGTCCTTTCTTACGTAAACAAACATTGTCTATTTCGGGCTCATTATCCGTCATGATCGACAAACTTTTATTCTTTAAATATTCCTTCAAAAATATATTCGTACGTTTATTAGAAACACACAATTGTTCACTCATTTCAACGGTCCATGAAAATCTTTAATTTAAATAATCAACAAATTTCATTCATTTTTACAAATTGTCTTTGTCTTTGTCTATACACAATATTAAATACTTATTTTTCATTTTTACAATTGTTTTAACAGGTGCTTCCCGGATATATTTGATATCTAACTTATTCTATTAATTGATTCGATAATTAACATTTGCTTTTAATCTGTATAACTTCAGAATTGAATATATTCGTGCCGACGAAGTGTCCGATGTATGGAATAGAAAGTGTACGACTGAACAGGCTCGCAGGAAAGGCTAAAGCAGGCGGGAAAGCCCAACGACAGTCCAACTAATTGTGAATTCATGCACCGGGAGAAGGGATTTGTCTATGGTGTCTTGAAGTTTATTTATCATTTACTGAACGTTATTGTTCCGACTATATTTTTCAAATGACTTTATTCTACACGTTGCATATTACATATAAAGTTTAAATAAACAATCATAAAGATTTCACATAATAAATTGATATTAATTGATAAGAAACTAATTCTTGTCACTTAAAAATGATGACCGTGCATTCGGAGAAATTGCAGTTTTGTTTTTTATTATATACAATGACACCATGACGAAAAGTGAATGGCCACAATGGCACAAAATAACGATATAACGTTGAAGATGAAATTACGATAACAAATAATTAGAATAAGCAACAAGAGAATCTTTAAACGCAGTGATTATGTTACTTCGTCGAATATGGCATTTTTATTTTATGGAGTTGCATGCTACGCATGGCAACGATTTAAACAATGAATGAAAACTACGACACGTTCAACGTTGCTACACAATGGAGAACAATGCCCGAAGATCTCAGCCTGAATTTCTAATGATATTTCTTTTTTAATACGTCAAGTCTTCTGCGTTTCAAATATACACGTAATTTATAAATAGCTGTTATCTCAATAAATAAATACTCATATAATACGAGTAGCATTTATTTCTTTTCGATTAAATATATTCGTAACAATTCATAGAAATTTTTCCTTATTATCTAAAATAAATTTACACGTAATATAGTAAGTATTTATAACAAAAAATGTTATCTTTTACAAGATAATTAAAAATATAATATCTTTATTTTTTTAACGAGATATATACATATATATATACAAACATATATATATATATGTATATATATATATATACATATATATATGTATATGCATATATACATATATGTATATATATATATATATATATATATATATATACATGTGTACATATAAGTATAACAAGCGTGTTAAAAAAAAAAGCATTTTCCACATAATCTCACAACACATCCGTTGACGACGAACTGATAATTCACGAATGCAATGACATCATCACGATCATAGGCTAAAAATTCCCATTTCTTGCAATTGATTAGAGAAATATGACACGTTTTTAATGTAAACGAATGAATGAATAACAAAAAGTAATTGAGATCTAAATTTGAGTTTAATACATAAATATACCTAAATGATTTAGAAACTTTTGATATCTTTCTTTTTACATATACTCGGATAAGAGAATTTCACGGTGTGTGATATTAGAAAGGATCCTTGGAGGAATTACACCAAAGGTTGAATTCACTGGCGTGAAATTGAAATGTTACGAAATTCCAAAGCTTCTTCTACCATCGACGTTTTATTATCAAATTATTGACAAATTTGCAGGACCTATTTCTTCCGAAATGTAAAGATTCTAAGACGTGAACGTCGACGTAAAACGTTAATTAGAATTTACCTAGGATGTAAATTTCTTTTGTAAAATGAATAACTAGATAAGTCATAAGGTTAATTGTATTTCATGGAAGACTAACAGTATTCATAATCAAACGAATCAAGCGTCTAAACGTGATACTTGCACGAAACCTTTTCCAAAAACTTAATCAACTTTAATAGAAACTTTGGAGAATTTAAATGAGTACACACGTGTCTCTATAATCTTTATTCATCGTACAAGTACAACGCATAAATATACATATATATGTATCTATATTATCTAAGGAAAAAAGATGAAACTTTCGTATAATTTCTTCGCTATAATTCGATCTTATTTATATTAATAAATGCTATACGATAGAACATAACACTTATAAAGGTCATTGACTTTTCTAAATGACTTTTCTAAAAGCACCACGCTGCAATCGATATAAAGTATTCTATTGTAAATGAGTAACGTGTATATAGTACATAATTAATAGAGATGAAGCATGGCTAATAATATACCTAATTATACTTCCGAGTACGAACAATAATTCAATAGAAAGAAATATTAAATGCAAATTTTAATTTCATACAATTAAAATTTGAATGCAACGCTTGAATAAAATGTTATATTGTAAATTTGTACTTACTCCGAAGTCGACGTCAAATGTAAAAGCTGGGGACCTGATTTGACGTAAGTTGTGCACATATTTTTTTCGTTGACATTCTCTTCCACCATCTGTTTCGTTCTCCATAATCTCCATAATCCCATATTTTAAGAAATTTCTTAGAAATACAATCGAACGTTATCTAAACTATTCCCACGTGCATTAAAAATGATCTTTATGTATCAAAGAGACACATCAAGACATTAGAAAACTCGTCTTTCAGACTAACCATCCGCAAGCCGACTGTAGAAAAACTCATCTCTGAATAGCTTCCTATTCAACGAGGAAATAACGTCCACTTGTCTGTACCGTAATTACGCGTATTTACATGAACAGGCGAACGTCAGTCTACGGTAATTAATTACATATACTGAACATGTCATCATGAGACTAAAAATATGCACTGATTTACTATGAACCCTTATTAACAATGAATATTTGTTAGGAAATATATTTGAAAGATTTTTTCTTTTTTCTTTTTTCTTTTTTCTAAAATCATTGTCCTTTTTCAAAAATTATCGAACCAAACGTATCCGTTCGATTCGTTCCTTTTTATTTTACTATCGTATAGAGCAAAGAGAGAGGAAAGACGTAACATTATTATAAAGCTTTGATCTTTCGTACGAGAAAAGTTAATTTTCTCTCTCTCCTTCGATCGTTTATCCCGAACAAACTCCTCCATACTTTCGCTCGCCCTTTTATGTTCAACTCGCCTCCCCCCTCTTACTTTGTTAGGAATTTTTATTACGGACCTCTTATTAGATGGAGGTCTTAAACTTCCTTTCATCTTCTTCAAGCGGATTTCGTCTAAACTGAACGTTATTGAGTCTGACATAGCCAACGTGGAAAGCTTCGAAAATACGATAATTTCTCTAAATCCATTAAAGGTATCCTACCTTCCCTTCGTCGTCGTCGTCAACTCGACAAGATGGATTGCATTAGGTAAACGAAATCATTACCACCTCTCCATGATGCAGACATCGAAAATTAGGTCTACGATACATGAGAATAAATAAACATGCGCTAATAAATCATTCCGTGCTTCAGCATCATTAATCACTTTGTATATAACTGCATATAATGGATTTATTGAATAATATATAATATCTCGTTGCAAAAAAAAAATATTTAACGAAATAAACTGACCGAAATATGACTCTCGAAGAAAAAGAAAAAAAAAGAGAAAGAGAGAGAGAGAGAGAGATAAAGAGAGAAGAAAAAGGAAGGGAGGAAAAATATTTATTTTCATCACTTAACAAATCTATTGAAGTAAAATAAGTTAATGATTAGAGTGATAATATCTATATATTGTGACAACTTTTTTATAAATTCTTAGGATTACAATATCTCTTTATCACATCAAATAATCATTGTCTAGCAACGAATGTTAAAAGGATTCGGTGTTTCGAAAAGAGGTCTTGCTGTATGAATTTTCATCCCTGTTTTGAATGGATCGGGGAAGGTAAAGTTCCTACATAGGATTCACGAAATGGTAGAGCAAGAGAGAAAGAGAAAGAGAAAGAGAGAGCGAGAGAGAGAGAGAGAGAGAGAGAGAAAGAGAGAATGAGAGAGAGAGAGAGAGAGAGAGAAAGAAAAGGAGGGGTTGGATTGAGACATGTCGGGGTGTGGCCGGTCCTGGGATTAACTTTGCTGACAGCCAATCATATCCGAGACGACCCCACCAAGTGCACGACTGGGAAAGCCAGCTTTGAGGCCGTCGCAGCAGCAACCCCGTCCACCCTTCTACGTACAACAACCCCCTCACGGCTAATTGCCCTCGCTTTAATATCGCATGTGGAATGAAAGCTCGAGGCGGCAACGGGGTAGGTTCCTTGCTTGCTTCAGCTGGTGTTCCGGGTGTTCAGAGGTTGAAGGGAGCTGATAAGGTACTATATAGAAGCTAGCTAGGAGTCCAGGAAACAGAGACTGCTTTGAAACACCTTCGTTGCTCGTATATCTATAAATGAGCATTTCTCAATGTATATGTCTAGGTGTTAGCATGAATATGGTATAGACCATAGCTCTTGCTACGATTAAATTTCGAAACAATGGCCAACCGCTTGACGACTCCTTAGTTGGCGAATCTTGCTTTATTAATGATTTAGATACTGTGCTAAGTAGCTAGGTGTAAGGACGAAAACCATGAAACTGAAATACCATCGATAATTTTTAATACTCCAAATAGAGGAGTCAATTTATAATGAATTCATTAATAGATCATGAATCTACGAAACAATATAAGATAATATTTTTTTTTATTTGTTATATTGAAAGAAAGAAAAGAAATGTTGATAACGATCGAAGGGGATAATCCTTTGGAAAATTTTGTAAACTGAATTTACTAGAATCTCTCGAGAATCGAAAAGAAATTCCGTGAAGCTAGGAAGATCTTCTGAGATCGCTTTCGTCTTATATATTGGCTCATCCGGAAGGGGAATAGCTCTTATAAAGCGGAGCAATTATCCGGGTAAAATACTCTCCGAAATTTCCGTGATAAATTTCAGCTCGTAATAAGGGTGGAGTCGCAAGTCATTTGGACGAGGACGATCAAGGGTATGGGTATCGAGCTTCAATAGAAATTCTTTTCAAACCCCACCGCGTGCTCGGTCGGCCGTTTAATTTAAACATTTGTCGCCTGTTACGCGTTCACCTTCTCTGCTACGTCGTTTCAACTTATACTTTCTAGAGCGGTTTCTTACTACTAAGCTAATAATTACCGTCTCTCTGAATACAGTGTGAAATAAGAACATAAAAGGGTCTCCCTAACACGAGCTTGAAAATCTTCTCTTCCGTTTTCATTTCTTCGTCTGTTCCAACGTCTCTTTGTTCCAACTGGCAATAAAACGAAATCATCTTATTTACTTAAATAACGAATTATTAGCCATCTAAATTAATTATTTAATACGATTAATAACAAGAATGACAACCTTCCAAAAAAAAATTTGAAAATTGACGAAAGTTTGAAAATTTAATTAGAAGTAACGCCTCACGATCAAATAAGAAAATATATTTTACGTTATACCTACGATAACTTAGCTTATTCCTATCCTCCATCTCCGCCCTTCTCCCAACGGTACCACTCTTCGAGGTAGATCCTACAATGCCAAAGTTTGCGACAAAGTTAGCACGCCGCGAAATATATGACGTAATTACATGAGCCCGTTCCTCGTTTTGTAAAATATTTAGAAGGTTCTCCAAGTAAATTTCGAATTTATAGCTTAATTTTACGCTCATAGAAGTGTCAACGAGATAAGTGCACAAGTTTTCATAATACCAAGCGATTTCTTTAGAGATCTCTTTGTGTAAGATATTATCTAGTATAAATTATATAAAATACATGAAAGGAGATGATCGATAAGGTTTAGATTCGTGAATAGTATTAAAAAAAAGTTGAAATATTAATAATTAAAAGTTTAAATATTAATTAAACGATATTGGTCCTGATATCGATCATCGACAACATAAGTTACTTTTCACAATGTAACATACCTTAAACATACCGTTGACATGACTTAAAAGCTCATCGTAATTAAGCACCCTTAAGCTCCTTAGAGGTTTTCCGAGGTTCTGAAATTCCCGCACGCTCGTCAACATCTAATGAGGGGATTGTGGATGAAGTTTCGGCCCAGATAGAAGCAATTAAGCAAACCCCACTCGATGCCAAGACGTGAGAATTACCTTAAGACTGTGTTTATACTCTCCATTAAATTACATTAAATCGTATCTATTAAAAATCATGTTTCATTTTACTTTCTTATTGATCGAAAAAATAGAACAATAGAATACGCGAAAAGAACAACAATCTCTACGAAATATTATATCCCCAGAGAGAAATAAAGATGACAATAAAAAAAAAATCGTAAGATTTTAAAACAATGTGAAAACGAAATGTCGAAATAGATCGAGTTAAAAAAAAAAAAAGAAGTATGAAGGAAAAGAAAAGTAGCTCATCATAATTAAAGGAGACAGCTAATTAGCTCAACGTCTTAGACACAGATGACATCGTCGAGAAGCGAAGACACTCGGTCTCAACCGTGGCCAAGGTAGCTACACAGTCGGCTAAGATCTTGCTTGGATCTACTCGTGTTCATTCCCGTATACATAGAAGCACCCCTTGGCCAAGAGCTCCTAGTCTCTACGCGAAAGCTTATTAATGGCTCTCTCTATCTATCTTTCTCCCTCCCTTCCCCCTTCTCTCTCTCGCTCTCTCTTCGAAGAAAGAGAACAAGGAAAAGGGAGGTTTAGGAAAGGGAAGAGCAAGGTTGAGTCGACGCGAAGAGCAAGAAGGGTGACGGCTGGTGGTGGAAAAAAGTAACAAACTCCCCGCAAACAAGGCTACCACCCCCTTTAGGTATACCCTAAAGCTTACCGACACGCAGCGCAACTCGCTCCGTAGGCGTGTCCCAGGACTAGTGGTGATGGCAGGACTCGGCCAACCAGGACTCGAGACGCAACATTCGCCTCGGCCTTCCTCGGTTCGAACGAAAAAATATTGACCGTACATCGAGAGGATATCCTGCGGTCCATTTGGGGGTTGCGGAGGTGAAAGACGATCCTAGAGGAGGGTGAAGAGCAGACAACATCGGTGAATACCCCTCTCATCACGTACGGGATCATTAGCCGGATATCCTTGCTCCTGCCACCACTGGCCAACCCCGCAACACACCATCCTACTAACTCTTGCCACCCCTCTCTTTCTCTCTCTCTCTCTCTTTCTCTCTCTCTCTCTTTCTCTCTCTCTCTCTCTCTCTCTGTCTCTATCTATCTATCTATCTATCTTTCTCTATCTCTATCTCTATCTCTCTTTCTGTGATAGCGGTGATTTTCGTGGCTGACATCATTATCCTCGGATGCTCCGAAGCGCCAGCGCGGATCGACTCTCGCGAGACCAACCTCTTCCTCCTCATCCTTCTCTCGTTATACTATTCGTGCTTCTACACCTTTGCCACTTTCTTCCTTGCTCTCGCCCTTCGAAAAACGAGCTCGATTCTTTCTAAAGGATCCACGCGATTATCAGTTACGAACACTGGTCCTGAGGAAACGTCAACCGATGCGTGTTTATCTCTAAGTTTATCCGACGGCTACGATTTTTACAGTTTTCTGTAAAGACTTAACGAAGCTTTACAAACTTTTTCGATCGTTTTAAGTGAAATGAATAAATGCAACGACGTTGTGTATGGTGATAGGACTCTTTCGGAAAATACAATGGACTGATCGTTTAAGTGATGTAATATATATTTGATGAATGTGATGAACTTTTCTTGTTGGACTTTTACGACGATGTATTTGTAAGTAATCAAAAAAAATTGAGTAAAAAAAATATAGATATAATAAAATTAAGACATCGTTAGTGAGAAACAAAGGAAATTAAGAATATAAATTGAAAACAATGGAGACGAGCGATCCGTCGGGTCGATTAACGATAGAGGATCTATCTGATTGTCGAAGCGACAGCAATCATTCCGAGACACAAATACGTGCTTTTCAGGGTTACGAAAGAGTTAAGGAATTAAATTTGTCGGTGGATAAAAATAAAGAAGATACTTCGAACGAACCGAAAGATTTTCACATTGGTCTAGAAGGTAGAACATCGATGCGTTTCGATGAATTTTCTAACGACATTACTAGAGGCGTTTCAATGACCTTAAACAAAGCAAAAGATTTTGGTTACTCTACGAACGGCATAAGTAACTTGAATTATTCATTGGAAAGAACAAACGAACCTGAAGATTCAATGGAAATGGCAACGTCACTTTGTAGATCGAAAAATTCCACCGCGAAGGATTTACTTTTCAATCTTCGCGAAACAAGACAAAAAAATGCTCATCCGACGCTCTCGTCTTTGGACAGATGCAACAAGGATCTTAATTTTGGTATCGAGAGAGATATCAAGGACTTTGGTTTGCTGAAGAATTATGGACTCGATCGTATGAAGGAATTCAACTTGTCGTTAGATCGGATTAGAGACAATCATATAAGTAATCTCACACTCGAAAGGCTACGTGGAAATGCTGGACTTCTGGAGAATCCTGCCATTTTGGACCACAGTGAATTCAGAAATCTTCAGGTGCAACAAAGAAGTCCAGAATTGGAAGCTATTGCCTTGGAACGTATGAGACGTTCTCATCTTTTAGGCACCGATCTCTCCGTACAAAATCTCTCGACGCAGCTCCCTCACTCGCATGCCATCACACAAATGGAACACTCTCAGGCACAACAACAACAACAAGCTAAATCCTTCACCATCGACGCAATTCTCGGACTGAGAAATAATCAAAGAGAAAAACGTGGACAACAGCAACAATATAGAAAACATCAGGGTACTTCCCGTAAATATTCCATCTTGTTATGCATGTCTCATTTTATTTATCACATGTTCAAATTTATCACCAACACGATATGAAATAAAAGCCAACGATTGTCAACGATGGTTAGCTGTCTGTCAATGCAATAACCACTAATAGTTATCATTTGACAGACTCGGACCTTACTACGTTCGCGAAAAAATTTTCTAAATTTCATGAAACTCTAACGTCTAGACGAATTTTTATTAATGAAAATAGATAGTATTAAGGAAATTTCAATGTGAATATTTTCTAGAGTGAGTATATCACTTTTTTCGTTATTAACGAATCTTAAATCAGATATAATTTTTAACAAACGAAAGAGACTTAACCTATCTCGCGTTTTATGATACAATTAATTATGATCATTCGATAACGTAAAAGAAAATTAAAAAAAGAAAAGTAAAATCGAACAAAGAAAATATTTTGAAGTCGTTTCGAGAAGAATTTTTATATATATTTTACAGGTCAGGAAAGTTCAACGAAGAACGGAAGTTCGAGCTTACGTTCACCCGGCGGTGGAAAATCAAAGAGAGTGAGGACGATTTTCACAGCCGAACAATTGGAACGACTTGAAGGCGAATTCGCTCGTCAGCAATACATGGTTGGCCCTGAAAGACTATACTTGGCTCACGCATTGAGATTGACCGAGGCGCAGGTCAAGGTCTGGTTCCAAAATCGTCGAATCAAGTGGCGCAAGCTTCACCACGAACAACAGACTCAGAGAGTTCAGGAATTTCAGAGATCGCTGAGCACGTCCTTAGAACACGAGGACTGCAACGAGACAGATAAATGGTGAAGAGGCTTGCATCTCGATCATCTTAGATCACGATCGAGACAACACATTCCTCTTGTCGTTTCTCTTCTCTTCCTTTTGCAATCGTGTCTTCTTTCCATTTCTTCTTTGAAACGTGTGATCGCTCGATTTTAACAACGATCCGGCCAAGACCCATTTTAAATATCGTTTCAATCGATATATTTAGCTAAAGATATTCCGATCATTTTTTTTTTCTTTTTACTTTTTTTTTCTTTTTAAGGAAAAGACTCCGTCCTTTTGATTTATTTATTTCTTTTCACCTTTTTTTTCCTAACACGATTCTAATATCGTGTATCGATTTCTTTTCTTAACTCATTTGAAAATCACGAAGGAAACCGATCAAAGACTTTGTGATTTTAGAGAAAATTATTGTTACACGAAGATCACGTGTTACGAGAAAAAAGATTAATTCAATTGAAATGCAATGTGAACAGTGAAATCGTAGTAGATATAAAATTGTCAAAATATTGTGGAATAGAAAACACCGTTTTGAGACGATTTTTTTTAAAACGAAATTCCTCGGCGTAGAAACCGATTGATAACTAAAAGTCGAAGCGAAAATAGTCATTACCATGCAACAAACTGAGAAGCACAAAACACAGAAGTACACGGCTGGGCGTTCGCCTTTGTGGTCCACAAAATATCAAACAGATGTCAGAGATTCTTCGGATGCGAACTGGAAATATCTTCACAAACATAATTCGTCTGTTCCACCAAACAAAGCTAATAGGTAAGCATTGAAGAATTTATCAAGGTAATTAAGTACTCTAATTAAATACTTAATATACATGTATATCGTATTTCAAATCGTTAAATTTGTATTACTCAATATTCTTGATTCTTAATTAGCGCTTAAAAAAGAAAGGGACGAAGAATATACTTCGGAAATAACTGTTTGGAAATATAATTCTGTCTTTAGGAGACAAGTCAATGCGACGGCCGAACCAGTATCGAATTATTATTTTACTATGAATTCCTACAAACAACCTAAACATCACAATTGCGAATCTCCAACGCATACAAAATACACGACGTGTCAAAATACAGAACCACATCGATGGACATCGCACAATCAGACTAAAATTCCTCGGAACAAGTTTTACACTACAAACAACAATATCGCGATCGTGAGAAGGTCTAATTACAATAAGAACGAGTTGGAGGATGACGAGAAGGTAAGATACGTTGATGAGGAAATGGGTAATTTCACCGAAGATAACATCGAGGAGGATGCAATCGAGGAAGGTACTAGTGGTGATCGACATTTTGAAATTTCAAAATTTCACCATAAGTTTCTTTTAAAATATTCAACATGTTGTTGTATAGTTGAGGACGATCAGGAAGAAACAGCTGAGTCCGTCGATAAGGATTACGAAGAACACGAAGCAGACGATGAGATCGACGAAGAATCCGATTCACCTATCTTGAGGTCACAAAAATTGCAGAGACGACCTAAAAAGGATGAAATTTTACAAGAGCAACAAAGATCAAAATTAGTTAAGCAACAACAAGATCCACGGAAGCTTCATTATCAACAATACATACAAAACTCATACGATAGTCATCCGTCAAGAAGAAGGTTCGTCAAACTTAATTAAAAATGTTACTAAAAATAATACAATGATGTTGCAAATAATATTTCTTACTTGAACAGATACTACCACGACCTCGATGATCGCGACGCAACAGAATTTTATTCCGACAAGGAACCAATAGAACCACCAACACCACCAAAAAATTCTATCAGAAGGTTAGGGAACTGTTATCAACATAGGACACCATCTAGAAGTTCATCCGATCGCTACGATACCATTGCTTCTTTGAATCAATCGATTCGCCGACCTCGACCTAGACAGGATGTCGAAGCTCTGTTGCATTCGGAAAATAATAAGAAATGTATAAGATGTGGTGCACCTTCTGGTAACAGATCTTCAACGACAAGTAAAAAGAACAGCTGCAGATTTCAAGAACATCCTAATTTTATTGTGAAAGAATCGATCGGTAATCTACGAATTCAATTATAAATTAATTAATTTAAATATCTAAAAAGAGACAAAAAGATGGAATACAATGAAAACAAATGAGCGATAAATAACGAAGATATTATTTCGTTATTATTATTATTATTATTATTATTATTATTATTATTATTATTATTATTATTATTACTATTATTATTATTATTATTATTATTATTGCTATTATTATTATTATATCATTTTCACACATTAGGCGACGATATGGATGCCGTTGAAAAAATTATATGCAGCCGTTGCAACGTCAAACACAATTCCGAGGACATTGAAAGACCTTACAGATTAACAAGATCAGCTTTGCAGACATTAAAACCACGACGATCGAAAGGCTCGAAAGGAATTTATGAAGTATCGGAAGATTATCAGATAAACGAGGAAATTCCAAATGATTATATGACGAACAGATATTCGAGAGATATTGCTGCGAATACCGTTCACGAGAGAACGAGACATTCTGCGCCAACAGCGCGTGGACTAACCACCAAATCGTCCTCTCGTTATGACGCTTAATAGCCAATTTATCACGAGGCTGTCCGCAGATCGAGGGAAATTTGGATGAAACGTCGAACGAAAAAGTTTAAAAGACGTTTCGTGTCAAGGGCGAGTGTGTTCTAATCTAAAAAAAAAAAAAAGAAAGAAAAAAAAATAAAAAAGGAAATAAAAGCAATAACAAGAACAAATTATTTGTATCAGTGTAAAGTGATCGTTTCCGTGAAAAGTCAAACAAAAAACTGAATGAACTCGTATACATATAAACGAAAAAAAAAAATTATGACGCTTTCGAGAGAAAAATGTAATTCGAAAATAATCGTATTAAGAATCGTGAGATACTCGCATCCCAATGATTTCCCTCCGACCGATTGTGTAATATATATTTTTGTAAATGTCTTCGAAACGTGTAGGTGTGTTAATGAATGTTACATAACATAGAATTTCGCTAAGAACGACGTAAAATTGTTAGCACGATGTACATATAGAGATAACGAATTAAGAAGAGACTAGGAGTTTAATATCTCAAAATATGTACTTTTAATGTTCAAAGATAACGAAAAGAAATAAACGTACGACCGTAAAGTGTACGATTTCTTTTGGCATTGGCAATACGAGAAAATACAATATGTAAATACGCGATGACATTACAATTAATTATACACGTACATCCATACGCGTATATGTTGCAGAGAATAAACTCTTGAATCTGTACATTCGAAATGGCACGTCGTTATATCTCACTTTTCCTCTTATCCATCCATCTCGACAAATTCATTTTTTTACTAATCTATCACTTCATTCTACTTCGCATAACATCGACTAATTCGTTTTATCTCTGTTTCCTCTATCCTGTCCACAATTAAAATTTACGACCAAACGAAGCTCGTTCGGCATGCAAAGGTAAAAGCAACGAGCCGAGCTTTTGTTTAAAATATTAATAACATGATGAAACTCCGTTGCCTTTCTGAAAATAGAGGGTTACGCTTTGTCCAATTAAACTCGATACCTTTATTATTATTCGTCCGTCGAAAGAGGATAATATTTATTGCCAGCCGAGGGGACGAGATGGGTCAAAATTGTAATTTCACTTGAAACGTAGAGAAATCAATTAACGAACCAGCAAATTAAGTGGAATCAGCAATTCAACAAAAGAATAAACGCTCGTAATTGATCGAATAATAAATTAACGTTGATTTTTCCAAAATACGTTCAAATAAATGCGTATGGAAATTTGGTTGGAACAAAAAAAAAAGGAAGAAAAACATAATCAATTTAAAGTTACGTTTGAAGGATTTCACATAGGTATATGTACGTGATTGTGATATGGGAAAGTCATACTCGGATGGGGTGACGGTAACTGATATTCGCTCGTTACTCCTATCCCTTTTGTCACCGTGATAAATTAGCCCTCGACCCGTGTCAAAGGATCACAAAGAAAACGTTCCTACCTCGTGCGGAGTGTCGCACGATGTTGACTATCATCGTTCCACATCATTCTAATAAAAAATAATCGATCGAGAAGGATCGAAAGAGATACATCGTAGAGTTTGAATGAATCGCGAACTTGATAATTAACGTAACTACTTTTGCCTTAATCGCATTGATGTAATTAGCATAATTAACTACTTAACTGTTGGAAACAATGAAATATATAAACGATCATTGTATCTATTTAACCTTATCTCGATCATATTCTATTTAAATACCACATTATATTTTATTTAAATGCCACTCTAATTGTACGTCGTTCATTTTAAAAAATAATATCAGCTAATTGAAACACAAACTTTTTTTAAATGATGACGTAAGAATCTTCGAAATAATCGAAGAAAAAGCCTTAACAAATTCGAAACTTGATAACGAATGAACGAATGCATCAACTTCCGACAAAAGATCGTTCGTATTGCAAACCGAAAGAGAATAAAAAAGTCGAGGAGCCGATGAGTCCTCGATATCGCGAGGTAGAGAACCAGTCTGTGCGGGGGATGTAAGCTCCGCCTATCCCAGCGTTACATCGAGACTTGGAGCACCCCCTCTTGCTCTTTATCCTCTCTCTCCTCTCTACACGTTATCCCAGCCCCTGCTCCATCGTCGTTGGCATCCGCGGCATTCCAATTAGCTCGCGAATCAAAAGAGCCCCACTGCCTTTGTGGGGTCTCACTCCCTACCCCTCACAAAACTCTATCTCTATCTCTGTATCTATCTCTCTCTTCATCCCTCTCTCTGGACCAGCCGCTTTGTCCTCCTCTCTGTCTCTACGTCCCTTCCTTTCTCTCTCTCTCTCCTTCTCTCTCTCTCTCTCTCTCTCTCTCTTCGCGTCCGTTCTACCACTCCTCTTCGCTCTCAACCCTCTTTTTCACTCTCCTCTTCCACCACCTAGTATTCTTCATCCTCTGCGTACACAGCGCAATGATTTTTTCTTTCTTCTTCTTTTATTCGTAACTAGCAGCAAACCATGGGAAAGAGCACCCGTTAGACCGAGTTAAGAGAGATAGAAAGAGAGAGAGAGAGAGAGAGAGAGAGGACAGATTAAAACGCGGTTTTAATCGCAAATCTGCCCTCTCTTTTACATCCTCGTAACTTCCATCAGAGAGAAGATTTCACGAATGTAACTACGTCGAATTCGTATTATGTTGAAACGTTAATTATCTCATCATTTTGTGTTACTTTTGAAAGATCCCTCGATTTAGATCGGATTTCAAAATTCTTCAAATTGATTTAAAATTCTTTCTATTTTCGATCGTTTGAAAGTTTGTAAGTTTTTCATTTATCAAGCTTTTAGATTTCAAAATAAATAATAGTGTGTAACGAGAGCATCGAAATTGGCATTTAATAATATTCGGATAGAGATATACTTTCTATCGGTAAATTTAACAGAGCATTACCTGAAATCCGTTGAATTTCCGAAATTCGAGAAATGCGTCAAAGGAGATGCCATTCTCCGGCTATCTTTGTTAATTACACCACCGTATTAACCTTTACAGTATATATTCGTTTATATGATTTACAAAAAAAAAATTATTTCTACTTTCTGTTGTATATTTTCTATATCGAAAAATGACCACTTTAATGATTTATTTACATCCGATGAATTATCATAGATAACTCCTAAATATATACGTTAAGCCGAATGAAAAAATTTTTCGATATTATAAAAAATAACATACAAAATGTTAAAGTCAGATTTTAATTAAGGAGCAAACACGTTTTGAAAGATTGTACATACTACATACATCGAAAACGATACGAGGTACGAGCTTACATGACAAATTGAAATTGCTAAGGTTCTTTCTACGTTTTCCTTTGCGTTCTTGTTGTTGTTGTCGTTGTTGTTATTGTTGTTGTTGTAGTCGTCGTTGTAGTCGTCGTCGTCGTCGTCGTCGTCGTCGTCGTCGTCGTCGTCGTCGTCGTCGTCGTCGTCGTCGTCGTTGTCGTCGTTGTTGTCGTCGTTGTCGTCGTCGTCATCGTTGTTTTTTTTTCGTTTGCTACAACGAACGCCCATATATTTCCGTCGTTGAGGGTAATTGAAATCGGAGGAAACCGCTCGTGACGTTTCTCTTGGCTCGACCACGACGAAACGCAAACGCAAATTTTATTACGCTGTGCCTCTATCCACTTCGTTAGATACCCACTTTGTTTATCATTCGCGAATATTAAAATTCCCGGTATACCGTATATAGATATGTATTTACATGTATGCCTCGGCTCTTGGCCGCCATTCCTACGCTTCTTTCTCTCTCTCTCCCTCTCTCTGTCTCTCACTCTCTCTCTCTCTCTCTCTCTCTCTCTCTCTCTCTCTCTCTCTCTCTCTCTGTTTCTCTTCTTCCCTCTTTCACTCCACACTCTTCCTCTTACACATGCACGATATTCATGCAGGTACGCCCCGCCCGATTTCCATAAATCCGCGATTCGTTTTTCGATGCTCTCGACTGAGAATCACCGCTCGAAGTACCCGATTCGAAATTAATATTCAACGATAAGAATCGAATCCGTGAAAAAAGAGAAAAAGAAAAAATAAAGATCTTATCAACGTTTTCTTTTTTCTATTAAAAAAATACATTTATATATCTATCGATATAAATAGATTTATATATCTATCGATAAATAAAATTATAAATACTATAGTGTGTTCGTATTTTATTTTCCAAATAGTTTTATTAATTGAAAGTAAGAATGAGAAACCAGTTCGAGCTAATAATAATCATTCTCGATCTCTCTACGTTCTTCTACATATACGCACATATATATATATATATATATATATATATATATATATATATATTATACTCGTATATATACATACGACGAGAGGAAGGACGGCGAATTCCAGTCGCAATAAAATAACTTGCCGTAACACAAAGGATTATTAATATCAAGGGTAGGATGAAAGAAGAGAGGAAACGTTCGAAATAACGTGCGTAGAACGATAATACATGGTGTAACTTTGTGGGCATGATCAAAGAGCATTCCTTCGCTTGAAATATGCCAGTAGCTTCCCCTCGATCGCTCCGTTAGATCCATATGAAACGGAGACGCTTTGGAAAGGCATGGTGGTTTGTTGTGTATATGCGTATTACACATGCATTCTCAAACATATACATATAATATATATATATATATATATATATATATATATATATATACATATATACACATATGTTATACACACACAAACACATATCTTTATTTTATTGTTATGATTACATCTGTCTTTCTTTAAATTTAATTACATTACATATATATATATATATATATATATATATATATATATATAGTTAAGTAGGTACTTTTTATTAAAGAACAATAAACCTTCTCTTAGGAAGATAAAAATAATCTTAAGAATCGTAGATAGAAATGATAATATTTGTATAAAGAACGCTAACACTTTTCTTCGTAATTTAAAAGGATAATCTCTCGTTATACTCGATGCTCTCTGCTCTGACCTCACAGTTTCCCAGGCTATTATTCTCTCAAAGTAGAGAGATAACGAGTGAAATTGTCGATGTCGAGTCCGCTTCGGCAAGGTAATATAATTCCAACGATATTATTCGTTTCGTATAAATGGTAGGAAAACGAGTATGCCAAACGTTTCTCTTTCATTAAACGATTATTAAAAAGAACTATAAACAAACGTTTATTGGATTACTTTGAAGGAATGATGTCATCCTGAGATATCTTTCATCCGAAGAGACAAGTGATAGAAGAACAATTATTATTATTATTACGAAAAAATCAAAATCAATCAATCGATGAAACATTTTCATTAACAAAAAATACTATAAATAACAAACATTATGATACATATATGTAAATATTTCATTTCTTAACACATATCAACGACGACAATTAAAAAAAGACACAAATAATATCGTTACTATCCCCCATCACTGCGCATCCTGCGAAGAGCATAACAAAAAGACAAAAAAAGGAATCATGGTACGTCAAAAAAGAATGATCGAGCGTGATCTCGATTACATCGGCACGCTCATAACCGTCGTTAATCGCGACGACGATATACATCGCGATAAAAAGCATAACCGCTTCGAGGGTGGCTACGAAGAGAAAGAGAGAGAGAGAGAGAGAGAGAGAGGGAGTAAAAGAGAGAAAGAGAGAGAAGGGGCTGTCGCTGCATCCCAGGGCTGTTTCGTTCGGCTCGCATTCATAACATCAGACGGGGTAATAAAAGTCAGGCACCCCTTCCTCCACTTCCATCCCCAGCAGTAGCACAACCACCACCCCTTGCCTCCGTCAGCGGCACCCAAGCCTGATCCTGGGGTGGTACCCCTGTAGAATCGGGGGCTCTCGTAGAGGCTCGTAGGTGAATCAAAAAGAAAAAGAAAGAAAGAGATAGAACGTTTATTCGTCACGCTTTGCAACGGCGTAGCAGGTTGCTGCCACTACTCTACTACTACTATTACCACTACTACTATCACCACCACCACCACCATCACTACTACTACTAACTTCGATCCTATGAAATTCGCATTCGAACGCGTTCGAGTACGTAAATAAAAAGACATACGTCGAATTTCAATCTCGCGGTTCTGATACGTCAGATTTCGCCCCTTTATATTGTCTTTCCCGTACGATCGCAACAGGGATATTACGATTACCCGCTGAAACTTTCTTCTTATTTGGAGTTCTTTCTTTCTCTTTTTTTTTCTTTCTTTTTTTTTTTTTAATCGTGAACGTTATAAAAATATGTGCACCGTGTGTTATAGACGTAATAAAATTATGGAGATCGTAGAAAAAAACTTCGTGAAGTACGAGATAAAATATTTACATCCTCGTGAAAAGTATTCTACGTGTGCCTTCAATGTCCCTTTTAATTTATTTCTCGATCGATCTACCTTTTAATGAATTGTTTAGATAAAACGTGAAAAATGTATACAATCGTTTATAAATCTTCTGCGTATAAAAACGATGAAAATTATTTGTATAGATTTGCTACGCTTATGTGAATAATACCGATCTAACTAAAGAGGGACGAGAAATATGTCAACGTGGCTAGTTAAAGGGACGATGATCTCGTGTCTCTGATAGTCATCTTCTCCCTAAATATCATTTCCCCTCTTGTAAACCACTCGACGATCTACACGTTCTCCTCCCTTCAATCCATCCTCCCTTCTCCCTCCTCCCTCCTGGGTCAAGTGTTTTCTCCCACTTAAATGCGACACTGTGTGCAACCGAGCGAAGGGTGCCCGTTGAAAGAATCGCAACTATTTCATTTCGGGACAGATTAGACGGATTAGAGACCATCGGATGCACCCAACGAAACGGAATTTGAAAATGTTCTCGATAACGTTACACAATATACAATGGAACGATCTCCTCTTGAAATTATTAACCTCGATAAAGTTAAATCAAAATGGCCGACCAATGTATTATCGACTAGAAAATGATGACAAATCTTGGTTGAATTAAATTGCTTTATACTACGGTAACTTTGGTAACGCTTGACCCCAATACGATTTCCAAAGACTAAGCGAAACGAAAGCTACTAGTTTATATCGCGCATTCGTACCAATTAATAGTCCCTTTGTAAACGTTAATACCTTCATCTTCGAATCAAAACCTTTGGCCGAAAGGATTACACGTAAAATCGGATTTATACGTTTAATCCTTTTTTAGTTACTTGTATCAAGCGTTATGGTTCTTTATATAAAATAGATGATTAAAATGTTCTTACGAGAATAACGAGCTTCTTTGTCGTACGTATTAAGATGGCGAGATAACAAGATATAATTGTACTAATTGCTTAATGGTGACCTTGATCGTTGTCTTCTTTACGGTCGTCATATGTCCATATTCATCGAAATATTTTCCATTTTTATCATTTCCATTTGATTGCATTCCATCAGATGCAAGATCACCTAACTCAATAAATTTCGAATGTCTCCATCGATTTACCGATCAACGAAATTCCGAAGACAAAGGGCCACATACATATAACATTGTTATAAGTATTCAAAAAAACGTAGCACAGAGACATCTATGGCTATCTTCACATATTTCTACCATACATAACAATTACAATTGATTGAATGCGATTCGTTAATTTAACCCGCCATTATTTCCACCTATAAAAATTAAAATGTAAAATTTTGATCTATAAACATAGAGAAAATAATAAACTTCTTCATATGTGCGTGACGCCAGGACATAAAATTTTCTTACTTAATACGAGTACACGAAAGTACAGATTAGAATCGTAGACTAGACATAAAAAAAAGAACATTTTTCTTTTGTTTATAATCAAGGTCATTCGAAGTATACAATTAGAAGGAAACAATAAAAATAATCGATAAAAATAATTTTCAAAAATACAAAAATATAATTGTCTGATACGTATTTTATTATTAGAATGATATTTAAATTATATTGGTTTTTTGATATCATATTATCTTTTCCACCTACCGTGACAGTAGAAATAAAAAAAAAAGTTGAAGATCGTGAGACAAGGTCTAAGGTGTATAGTTTTACGAACGCATTTCACAAGGATGATTCGCGCGCGCACGTCGTTCACCGCATGACAGACCGCGTGAAATACATGTCGAAGGTCGAAAGAGAGTTTGCGCGCGTTGACACGCGAATATAATAGAGAATTAGTGGAAAACGTGTCTGGTATTTATATTAGGAAGAAAAAAGAACCGATAAATAATATGTTTTCTAATGAACGTAGAACGTTTTTTTGGGTTGGTTGTGCATGTGTCGGAGCTTATGTTGCTTACCGATATTGGAAAAAAAGAGAACTGAAGTCGATCGACGAAGGTTTCGATGAAGTTACTAAGGTCTTTGCTATTTGGATTGTTTTGGAAATATTTTTATCCTATATGAATTTTCGATCTGTTTAACGTTATCTCATCCATCTCATGAATGATCATACTAACTTATATAGATAAAATTAATATATATCATCAATTAATCTATTTATTATAATATTTTAATTTTATCTTTGATACTTGACATCAGGAGTTCTTTTAAATTAATATGTGACCGTAATTGGTTAAAAGTCAACAGACAAAATATACTTATTGTAAAAGATAACCTTCACACCATAGCTTTCTAACTTTGTATACAACATAAATGTTCTAAGAGTTAATGTTACATTAAAAAACATTAAGTAAAATCTTTTAATTACAGATCGATGATAGTTATGAAAGAAGGGTACTGTTACTTGGTTTAGATGGTGCAGGTAAAACCTCTTTGATGAATCAAATGTGTATCATCAATGGCCAACCAGAACCTTATAAAGCTCCTCCACTACCTACTCAAGGTTTTACTGTATATAGATTAGAAAGTGGATATTATACATATAATGTTTGGGAAAGTAAGAACTCTTGATATTCTATTAAAATTAAAAAAAAAATCATAAAGAATTGAAGTTGTATTTAATTTATTATAAAAAATAATGATTTACAGTTGGAGGCGCTGAAAATGATAGAAAGTATTGGTCTACCTTCTTACAAGACACTGATCTCTTGATATTTATGGTAGATGCATCTGATACAAGTAAATTATCTCTTGCTGTTTCAACGCTTAAGCAATTATTAGGAGATTCACGGATGGATACTGTACCAATATTAGTTATTGCCAATAAACAGGTAAATATTGTGTAAAATTTTTTAATGAATTTTAAAAATATGTATTATATTTGTTATAAGAGACATTTTGTTATATATTATTTACAGGATGCTTCTAATGCACTAAGACCTGATCAAGTAAAAGAAGCTTTAGATTTACAAAGTATTTCTCCACACAAACATAAAGTAGAGGTGATTGGGTGTCAAACGAGGCCTTTACCTGATTTACAGTCAGGAGCTACAGAATATACCTGGTATCATTTGTCTGTAAATGCTATTAGAAAGAAAGTATTTTCTATGGCTACTTCTTAAAAAAAATTAATATTTTTAAATTTATTTATTTTATTTGTCCAAAGTTTGCACAATTAATCTATATAAACAAAAACAAATAGTATATTAGAGAAAACAAAAAATATACTCTCTTTTTTTATAAAAAAAAAAAAAAAAAGGCTGCAAAACGCTTAACAATGATTAAACAGATCTTGTTTTTAAAATATAAAGTAAAACAATACAGTATTGTCATATTGCTCTGATGGGATATATTCATGTTTGTATAAGTCATGTATAATATTTATTGCATTCCTTTCTTTTTTCATTCTTTATTAAGTAAAATGTTTAAATGTAAATGTGTGATAAAAATTAATTCTTAGTCGCGTATAATAAATATACAGATTTTTATACAAAATCTCGTACTTTATAGAAATACAGAAATTCTACATTTGGTAGAATAAACATTATGTTGCATTTTTCTTAGATAAATATTCGTTATATTGTTCTGGAATGCCTTTAAAAATTTTTATTTTAGCACGAATTTGTTTCCAAGTTAACTGATAATAATTCTTCTTATCGCGTGCCATAGCCTAGATAAACAATTTTCATTTTATATTTTTTGACATATTCTTATAAACATTTGCAATGATGTAATACATACCTTATAATCTTCACCATATTTGTCTAATAAATAAGTGATAAAATGTACTTGACCATTAGGTAATCGAAACATTCTTTCCCTAGGTGTTTTAGCATCAATTTCTAAAGCTTGAGCTACATGAATTTTAGCTGGTTTGTTTTCCGTATCTACGTCATCGGCTTCACTATCATTTTGTAAATCACTTAACATAAATTTTTGTTTAGCTTCTTCTAGTAAATCCCGTTTTACATTAGGAATCGGCAATACTTCATTTGGATCATATGCTAAACCCATCTCATTGAGATTAGTGCGTGTAGATTTAGAAATTTCCCATTCTTGTTTTATTGTATCACTATATATAATAATTTACAATTAAAAATATGCATGAAAATAATAAGTAATCTAAAAAGGTTATGTTTACCATTCTATCGTGGGTAACTTTTGTAACTTATTTCGTAGTCTTTTTCGATTTACATTCACACGATACTTCTTTCTTCGCTTTACTTTCTTAATTTTCGTCATATTTTAATAACGAAATTGATATTTTTCACAATGAAATAATCCAACGAAATACACAACCGCGTGTGAACTTTTTATACCGTTAGAGCGTAATAGTCAACACATTATGCGTATACGTAGGTAACGAAGAGTTACTACGTTATCATAAGGGTTTGAAAAAGTTTCTTCGTAATAGATGGCGCTCACAAATGCGATTATCGACAAAGTATGGAGTGTTGCCTATCATTGTGCGTGATATTTAAATTTATATAACTTCGATCAACAAACTTTTCTCATCTTTTTCTTCGAGGAATTGAAATATTCAGAAAAAATAAAACTCACATATTATTATCGCAGATGCAAAATTTATTTTCTCACATTATGGAGATAAGTATATCGAAAAAATTGTTCTTACTCACTATCGAATAAGTAAATATTCGTGTCGAATCGGATTGAATGGCGAAGACACGGAAAAGTCATAGCATTCAGGGTAACATAAATATAAATACTTATGCACTACTCCTACTACAGATTTGGTAAGCGTCCATTAAACAACGACGACATTACGATATGGTAATATCTTGAAGTCGATTACAATTACGCGGTAAATTGGAAAATAAGAAAAATATCAAACGAACGGACGAGAGAGATATAATAAAAACGTATGTACATATCAGTTAGAAATTTAAAACCGATATTATCTCTCATTATCAATTAGCCTTATTCCGAATAACACAGTGGTCTAAAATGGAGTATTTTTCAGGTCTACACGGTAATGTATAGTGAAAGAAAGATGAAATACGAGAAGTAAGAAGAATAAGAAGGGAAATAGCCAGGCCAGAAGAAGTCGAGCTAATTACGATTTACCATGCATAGCTAGTGCCTAATCCGGTGAAGGTGGCATGTACGACGGGGGCGGCGTATTCAGCAGCATAACCGTAGGCAGGTGCAGTTTTGGCGAGAACAGGGGTAGCGGCGACGTGAGCAACAGGAGCAGCGTAAGTAGCCTTGGCAAGGACTGGAGTAGCGTGTGCGGCGTATCCGTAAGTGGTTGCTGCGTAGGCTGGTGCGGCATAAGTAGCCTTAGCGACTACGGCTGGGGCAGTTACGGCTGCTTTTGTTACAAGAGGAGCAGCTGCATAGGTAGTCTTAGCTACAAGTGGTGAGGTATATCCGTAGGCAGAGGTGCCGTAGGCAGTTTTGGTGACGACAGGAGCAGAATGAGCAGCGTAACTGTAGATTGGAGCTGTAGCATGGAGCTGCGAAGCCAATACTGGGGCAGCATGGGCAGTATATCCATAAGCTGGAGCAGCAGCATAAGCTGTCTTAGCCAATACAGGAGTAGCATGTGCGGCATAAGTCGTGTAAGTCGCTGGTGCAGCGTGCGAGGTATAAGTCGTATAAGTCGCTGGTGCAAGTGCGGCTTTGGTCACTACAGGAGCAGCATAAGTAGCCGCGGTATAAGCTGGCTTAGCGATCACTGCTGCTGGTGCTGCTGCGTAAGTCAAAGCATCGTTGGTAACGTGGCTGTTACTGACGCGTACCGAAGAGTGTGCGGAGTCTTCAGCCCTCGAGTAACTCGACACGACATTCTGTCCTGCATAGCCCTTCTGCGTAGATTCCTGGCTGTAGCCTATGCTACTAAGATCGGCCGATGCCGTGGCGATGTCATATGCGGCTGGTCCGCCAGCATGGGCTATCGCCAAGAGAGCTGAGAGAGCGATTAACTGCGAAAAACATTATTTTTGTTAATATCGTTCTCTCAAATATGAGATACTAGATCGTTTTTAAAGGATCAATCCTACCATATTTAACCATACTTGGATTTGTAGGAAATATAAAATTTCTCACTATATAATGTGATAAATCCATTTAACAGCCTTTGACGGATACTCACCTTGAATGCCATTTTTCTTGGTTTACTGTAGTAGGAGAGCTACTTGTGTTATGCTGAAACGAAACGACTGGCCCAGTATTTATATGTCTGCGAGATTGTAAGGGAGTCGATCGGATTTTGGACACCCCATTGTTCGATACGATTGGACATGAAGGATTGAGGGAGAGGGAAATACACGCGGATTTCCTTGTCAGAGATCACTAAGAAAGGGAGATAGAAAGTGCGAAGGAGAGGAAGGATAGTCGATTGAGAGGGGACAGAAACAAATTCCGGGCGTGGTCCTCTTGCCGAAATTAAGATCGGTACATTTGGTACAGTTGAGGCGATTAAGGCAGGTCGGAGAAGTTGCTCTCGAATGTATTCGCAGGAACTTTTTTTTTTTACTTCTTCCCGTTTTATGATCATATTCTTTTCTTTTTTTTTGTTTTTCATTAATAATCAAAATCAAACGATTAAGTTTAATCATATAATTTATCTATCCCTCTCTTAAATTAAACAAATCGTAGTGAAAAATCATTTTTAATTTGAAAAAAAAACATTCTGAAATATTTATTTCAAAAAGTATTAATTCGTGTACATTAATACCGATTGATCGCTATTAAAAATGATACTTCGCATCTCATAAAAAAAAATATCATTTTGTGTAACGTAATATATTTTAATCGTATATGATATTGTAGAACTTGTCAAGGACACACTTTCTCCAAATTCTGGCACTGACATAAGCCTTGTCACATGTGTAATAGAGCAGATGTGTAACGTTCACACACCTGCGTCCAATTTCATGATCTATTAGACGAAGGTTGGATCAAAATCTCTATTGAAATCAAAATGAAACATAGAAAGTTTGGATTGGACTATATGGTAGGAAATTTAATATTATGCAATCCAAAATCATAATTAATTTCTAGCTAAGATTCTTGCTAGCTTGTTCCATGTGAACCACATTATAATCTCAAATCCATCTTGGAACGGGTTCTTGTACTCGTAGATTTACATTTTGACAGCCATTTAGAATTATTTTACAAAGTGAAAGTGAGCATTTGCAAGAAGAAAAAGAAAGCACGATCTTTTAGATACTTTATAATATTTAATTTATCTAAATAAAGTCCATACATATAGTTTTTATAAATAAAAAATTTGTATGAATCAATTACTAATATTACTATATATACATCCATAAATAAATACATGCATAATATTAAATAAAATGTGACATTTCAAACACTGATTTACTAAGTATATACAAAGGATGATGCCGAATCATGTTTTTTAAAAATCGAATTTGTATCCATTTCCGCTGACCTTGACGTGTGCTACAGAAGGTGCCGACGAATAAGCAACCCCCAATAAGTTTTGCGATTGATGTTGTTGCTGTTGTTGTACATGTTCTTGCTGAAGTTGAATTTGCTCTGGGAGCTACGGAAGATCATTGGTAAAAATGACCATCATCGATTTCTTGAATTTCTTCTAAGAATTACCTGTTGCGTTTGGACCTGTTGCGCTTGAGTTTGAGCTTGAGCTTGAGCTTGAGTTTGCGCTTGCGCCTGAGCTTGCCTGAGAGCAAGAAGCTGTCCCAATTGTCCCTGATAAACGACATTCGGATAATTTTGTACTTGAGCTTGTTGTAATTGTTGCAATTGTTGCAATTGTTGAAGATACGCCAATGCAGCGCCCTGATCAAATTGTGCTTGATACGGTAAAGGTGCAGGACCAGAGGCAGAAAGACCTGGGGCTATTGATGCAGTTGCATAACCATGAGAGACAGGTCCAAACGGAAAAAAGCCTGAAATGCAACGTAGAAAGTCTTAACATGTGCGCGTATGAAAATATTCTTGTATGTATTTGGGACGGAGTCGTTAAATCTCTTGTGTAACAAAATGATAGACAAGTACTTATATCGTTCTATATATATAAATAACGATATAAGTACTTGTCTATCATTTTGTTACACACATGTATACATATATATATATATTACATAAACTATGTATTATAAACATGATTTCAAATTTCTATTTTAAGATTTCATATACAAACCCAAACCAGGATTTTTGTAAGCAAGAGCCTGTGCCAGACTCGGCAATACTCTTTGAGCTAATTGAGGATTTCCAATACTCGAACTAAAGGATTGATAAGAGCTCGGACCACCGAAGGAAAATGATGTTTGAGTTAATCCTGGCCTGACAAAACTAAAAGATGCGTGTTGTTCTGGTCCACCCAAAACATTTGTAGGCTTTATACCACCTTGCACAGGTGCTTCCATTGCTACCAAGCTGCATAATAAGCTACAGATTATTGTATATTTCTAAAGAACAAACAAAAGGTAAGAAAAAGAAAATTATTTTTATCAATTAACAGCAGAAAAAGATTCGAAAAAAAAAACAGAAACAAATTTTATCTTAATTAAAATGTTGCATCATTCTGGATTTCTCTTACATTAGAATATATGTATATTTAGCGAATAGATACGTCTATGTGTATATATAAGACGATAATATTGTACATAAAAAAAGGGCATGATATAACACTAATCTAAAATCCATATAAAATCTTCGAATGAACCACCTTTCGTCCATGACACAGATTTAAGGTAAAAAAAAAAAGATGTAACATAAAAAGTCTGAAGTTTCCGAGCAAGAAATCGTATTTCTTTATTGAATTATTCTTTCTACGTAGGTAATTCAATGAATCATCTGCATGTACGTTTCTATTCTTTTTCATTGTTCATCGATTATCATAGTGATTTCTATTGTCGATAGGGTATACTCGATTGAACAATGAATTGCTTTTACATCGTTCAAGAATCGTTGGATATTTCGTAACGAGTCCTTTCTTCACGCACCAAGGTGAACCTCTTTGACCGCGTTTTTTCCTTTCTTTCTTTTTCTTGTTTGTTTCTTTTTTTTTTCCCTTTCTTTTCTTTTATTATTCTTTCGTTTTTAAAGAGAGGAAGAAAAGTTTCTTCCTAACGTAAATTTTCGAACGATATAAAATCGATGATATTTCACTCACCCACATCGCGATATCAAAGTTAAAGAAGAAGACGCCGATCTTGACAGTAACAAAAATCGAGACAATATTTGAATGAAAAGTTATATCGTGGGGAGTTATATACCACGGAAGCGGTCGAAATAAAACGTGAGTAGTATTCAAAGTATATAATTTCAAATATACAAAGACACTTTCACCTGGATACCGATATCGAACAATCTGTGAATCGTAATTGATCGATACATAATACTTCATAAATTAATATTCATTATTTCATTTTACATTCATTTTTATATAATTAATAATAATCGACAACGAGAAGAATCAAGAATTAAAATATATTAATTTTTTTTGTTTTATATGTGTATCATCTAACGTATTTTTATATGTATATACATTTATACGTATTTGAGTCATCTATAATAAAAATTGGAATCGGTAAAGAAAGTTACTTTCCGTCTACCTAATATAGAATCTACCTCCTCGTCGGACTGTTAATTATAGTCTATCGTTTCTTGAATATTAAGATCGGTCTAGTATCCCTGACATTTTGCATGTAATTATTATATTGTATATGTCTGCTTTTGACGGTAACTATCGCCATCATATTTACATACCAAGTATCTCTCTCTCTCTCTCTCTCTCTCTCTCTCTCTCTCTCTCTTTCTCTCTCTCTCTCTCCCCCCTCTCCTTTCCTTCCTCTCTATTCCTCTCTATTCCTCTGTTTTTCTTGAAGGTTTTAGGATAATTCATCTTGATGAATATATTCTTTGTATATTTATTTTGGCAAATATTCTGAAAGAAGCATACATATTTCCTACATTTTCGTATTACAGTCGTGTTCTTGTCACTAATAGCGTTCTAACATAGACAATACCCATTACAATCGATCGAAAAACGGTCAATATTATAGATGTATGTATATATATATCCACTTTTAAGTAAAGGTATTCTCTAAAAACATGTATTTTTATTGATATGGGATAATTTTCAATGTAATGTATTCATGGCATTAATATGGAAGGTATGATGCGAGGAACGATGCGAATTTGTGTGCTGTAACATTAAATTTTTTAAGGGATTTTACATGGTTATAAAGTATGATTGATAAAACATTCCCATAGCTGTGGTAGCAAACAGCGCAAAGCAAGTCCACCACGTTGCTAATCCTAACAAACCTCTGTATACATCGATAGTAAATATCTGGAGAAAATATAAGAAAACCAATGTTTTTATTTATTACATATCAATTTATATCATTCAAAAAAATATTTACCTGTTTTAATGAACCAAATGTACGCTGAATTTCTTTGGCAGTTCGTGCAACAGTCGTTTTGTTAGCTTCTATGTTGATATTCTGTACAAATTTAGTTGGTTCATCAACTGGACATTCTTCAACCAGCGTACCTTTAATAATACCTTCCCATGTATAATTACCTATAAAAAATAATATAAATTAATAAGGAACAATTTCAGTCAAGGAAATATTTATATTTGAATAATATATTACCAAGTGTCTTATACATAAATGTAAAAAATAAACACATAATAATTGGAACAATGAATTGCAATGCTACAACGCACAAGTAATAAAACACAGCTGCAATCTGAAAATTAAATATGATGTTTACTTTCTAAGTATATATGTATATATATAGATGAATATTATTACTCTAATAATTATCATTATATTTACCTTTCTTTGCAATTCAACATTGGTTATTCTGCCTGCTTCTTTTTTCTGACTCTCTAACCTTGATACAGCCAAATTTAAATAGGATTGCAAATACATTGGCATTAAAATTATTTTTAATAAAAGTACAAGAATTATTACTATTAATCTCATGCTTTCAAAAGATGCAGCAGTCATTCTGAAAATAGAACACAATTAATATCATTATAAAATGTTAATGATAAATATTTGTTCTATGATCAACATACAGTGGGCCATTCATTCCTGTAAAAATTCGAACAGTAAGATAGTCTCTGCTTATTGGTTTAACCCATAGACAAATTAACAGAAGTGGTGAAGCAAAACTTATATTTGCTATTAGCAGCAAAAGTTTTCTATCTTTGTAATATCTAAAAAAAAATTTTTATTCTATATTACATATTTTAACCTATGGTAGATAAATCAAAATAATATTTTGTTATACCTCAATGCATCCCAATGCATTTTTGATACTCTTAAACCTGGGAAAGTGAAAAGAGATACAATAAATCCACACCATAGAGCAAGGAAGAACTTTACAACAATTTTTGATGCAGGACCCCTACAATATAAATTCATTAGATCAAATATGCAGATTCCTCTTGGTATGTTTATAAAGATAATATTAAATCATTCATATCAATAAAAAAAATGCAAGCATTTTAAATTACGATTATATGCAACTCAGAAAATGTTTCAAGTTTAATAGTACTATGCAAAAGCAGTATGTCTCCTTGGGCATCCAAATACTACTGGCTTACGTAGAAGAAAGGCCTTGATTGTCTAAAAACAAGGAGGCGCTGTGGTTAAAGCTCGTATATGCTTTCTCCAGTCCAATCTCAAGAGTTTTTTCATCTATAATTAGCACAATCATAGCTATTAGAAGATATGTAAATCCAGAAACAATGCACGTAGATCTTTCACCAACGCTTTCTTCTCCCTTGAAATATCGTATCCAAAATGAAAGTAATACCTTACTATGATTTATTTAAGAAAGGTAAGCGCATAATATTTTTAAAGATTTTTAACAATTTTAGAGACAAAAAGGATACAATGCAAAGCCCAATACCAACGTGCACCAAAGCATACTTAAATTGATTTCATTTTTAATTGGATAGAAATAATTATATACCTGTCAAGTATAAAGAAAGAAATCAGAGCCATATCTATTTATCTAATATAATAAAAAAAAAAAAAAAAATAATTACTAACCTCTGTCATTGCATATACGATTGTAGCATAAATAGAAAAATCTAATAACCATTGATATTCCATGTAATACTTTAAATGTATTACATCTAATACCGTAATCTTAGCACTTTTCAATGTAAGATCCAAATTTCTAGGGACATGAAATACATCTCTCACCTTACCATTTTCTACATTTTTACCCTTTTTATGTTTGTCTTTAGGTAAACCAGCAAGGATTCTAAGTTGCTGGTCCGTTGGATGTAAATATCGAACCAATCTGCGAATGCAAAAAAATATCAATGTTCCAAGAAAATTCTTGTTTATTTTTGAGCTTACCCGGTGGAACATAACATCCATCTTGCTAATGAAAAATGTGGAGTTAATTTTTGAATGACACTGACCATAATAATAGTAATAGCGAGCTGTGCACCTAACAGAGCCTACAAATTAACATACAATATATTTTCAGTTACATATACATCGTTTTTATAAATGCAAAGGAATTTGTTTACAATCAGCAATACATAGTAGTTTTTCTTATCAGAAAATAGTGACTAGCAAATGCAAAAAAAAAAAAGAATATGTAATCGTTGCATGAAATTTACCATGTTTATTGTAATAATTCCTAAATATAACTAATTCATAAATTTCACAAGAATGATTGTCTCGTGGCTCGAGTAATGTTTTTATTCGACGAAATAAGTAAATCCTGAAAGAACAATGTTGAATTATTTTCAATTTAAAGCCGATAAAGTATATTACACCAGTTTAAATAGCACGCACAGTCAACCAGCTAACTTTATAAATAGTTATAAGCTGATGAACACATAATGCCAAACGCATTGGGTTCTTCGAATGTCATATACGAGGTTATTCCAAATTATATTCTACCTACAGGCAAAAGAGAGAGAAAGAAAAACATTTTAAAATGTCGGTATCGGCAGTAGTGACCTCTATTAAGTATCTTAGAAAACATCTATTAAAAAAATCATGCTCTATCGATATTCAATTTGAATACGAATTTTATGTTCGATCTAGACTGAAATAGATCACCTAGATCTTATTTTTTTAGACATAACATTTATTTTTGGAATGAATTTACGATCACGTATTTTATCGAGAAAGATATAATAGAATGATATTTCCAAAATTATACGTTTAAAAAGAAACGCAACGTATCGTAACTGTTTTTAGCAAAATTATACTTAAAAATTCTCCAAATTTTAATAGTAATACAATTATTTGTCAACACATCTATTAAAACCATTTGCGTAATACCCGCAGGCAAATAAATGAGAACTTTGTAATAAATCATACCAATGGTGGTATGAAGATAAAGTAAGCGTTAGAAATGAAATAATCGGGGATGTTGAAACACTTAATAGCTTTGTCATGGATGATTAAATTTACACTTGAATGGTTCAGGCTGAATTCTCGAGAAATGAAAAATATTTTACTTAAATTTTTATTTAAATTTAAAAACAATCAATCGATCATTCCGGTTTAACTGAATAATACGCGGAAATATCTTGGAATTGATGTAGAAATATTATTTTTTTCGTTAGGATGGTATCTCGATGATAAAGGAAGTGAAATAACTCGATATAGCAACATTGATCAAGTTTATCAGATTCTCTTCAACAGGATTTATGTATAATCGATGATAATTATCATTGAGTTTGAAAATTTCCTCAAAGGTATCGACAATTGTTTTTTTCTTTTCTTTTTAATTTTTCAAATAGATATAACAGAGAAAAAATAAAGGAATTTTAAGGGAAAAATAAGAAGAAAAAGACGATTGGTCCACGCACGAAATAAAAGGAATCTGTGACGCATTGCGTTTCGATTAATCATTGGATACATTTATATATATATATGTATTCTCTTATGTATTAGTGTATCTATATGTGCGGGTAGACGTACATCAGAGAATCTCTGGATTCGACGTTTATCCAAGGAAGGAAGCGGAGGAAGAAGAAGAGCCAGTATAAAAACAAGGCTCTCATCAGTTTGCTCGATCACATGTCGACTAGTGTTCAGCCGAGCTTGGACTACGTGTAACAGGTTCGTAAAGGTCCGTTTCCGTTCTTCTCGCGCGAGATCATCGACGAGAATGAGTAATACTTACGGAAATGATCTACTATATTGTTTGTGTGCCCTTCGAAAGAGAATCCTTCGAACATTTACGACGATTAATCGTAGTATTGATTAATAGAAAGTAGTTTTATTTTTCTCATTACAAAACATTATCGACATAATTAAACAATTTTTTAATTAACAGAATTAAGGTTGCATTTAAGTATTTCTAATTATCGTATATTTCCGTTTTGTTTGTTTGCTTTTTTTTCTTTCGTTATTCATTTTTTTCGTGTAAATACATTCTAAAAGCTTATTCAAACTATTTGATTGTAATTTGTTGACGAATTAATCCATATGTACATATATTATGTCATTCCTATTTAGCGATGTACATTTGTTGCACCAAAGTAAAGATCATAATATGGAAATCTCACCTGTCTCACGTTTATAAAATATTTCGAACCGATGGATAATTTTCCTACGCAAGAACATCAGATCGTTTACAATCGTACTGCGTAATATCTTCCATGGAATTCGTTATCATTATACATTTCTTTTTCTAATTTTATCGTTATCGATTTTCTTCATATAAATATATCCTTAAAAGTTATTCGAACGATTCGGTCGCAACATAAATTGCTGACGAATTGACATATATGTATATGTATTATATCATTCCTATTTAACAATGTACATTTGTTGCGCCAAGGTAAAGGTCGTAATATGGTTATCTCACCTGGCCAACGTTTATAAAATTCTTCGAACCGATGCATAATTTTCCTACGCAAACACATCAGATCGTTTACAATCGTACTGCGTAACATCTTTAGTGCAATTTGTTATCATTGTACATTTTTTTTTTTAATTCTTAAATTGTTTAAATCTTATTATTGATAAATTCTATATTTCCTCTTGGTTGTGTCAAGTGCATGATAGTAATGATGTAGGCTTTGCGTTGCGTAAGATTTGAAAGTTATGCATTTTTGTCGATGGGATATCTCTCTTCTGAGAAAAGCACGTCCCCGTTCAAGATGTTGGATTTTCCACTCTCATTCGATCGTCTTTCATCGTCTTCTTATTCTTCTTCTATGTTATTATTACAATCCGATTAATAAACGATTCAATAGTTTATTGTTTCAAACAAGCTCTTCTTAACGTTTAAATTTTATAGTTGATAAATTGACTCTAAAATTAATTCTTTTCCAATCTAGATCGTAAATATAATTAAATAGTTTTAAAGAAAGAAAAAAACCGAATAAAACAAATAAGAGGATGTGGTAAAAGTATTGATGCAAATGATTTAATATGGTATCGAGGATGATGCCAAACGTCTTATTAATCTGGTTAGACTGGTAAGATCGTCCCATGCGTTTTATAATCTCTTTCTTTTTTCCACAAAATCTAGAGATTAAAAAGAAACCGTAACTGTGAAACTTTTTTATTCCGTAACGAATACGTGGGATAGAAAAGAAATCTAAGAGTTCATTTAACCGTTCAAAGCAAACTGTTTAGAAGATTTCTTCAAAAAATTTTTCTAATAATAAACGAACAGGGCTTTAAAACGGGGGAGTTTGAAAGTGAAATTTTCTTTCGATATTATTAATTCTTTTTCAGTTTTTTATTTTCCTTCTTTCTTTCTCTTACAGAAGACGATCGCATAATGTCACTTTCAACTATTTCAACGAGATTTTTTCTTCTTCTTCTTCTCTTGGGACTCGTCTCATCTCTTTTTGCTGCAAGCATCAAACAAAAGGAACCAGCGAATGTTCAATGTCACAATAATAACGAATGTCCTAATGATCATTGCTGTGTCCTAGGTTTATTGCTATTTAATTTTAATTGAATTTGTAATTTTTCCATACTTTCTAATCGCTCTAACAATTTATATTTATTTCATAGGTGGAGGAAGATATACCATACCTCAATGTAGTCCTATGAGAAAGAAAGCTGAAATTTGTCGACCTGGCAATGACCTGCTCAACACGACCCTATATTATCCGAATAACAGCAAGTTATCGATAACTGATGTATATTATATATTATGTCCTTGTGAGGAAGGATTAACCTGCAATCTCGAGGAAGGCGTTTGCATAGGCAACAATTAAAAACATAAATCTCTCGAATTAAATCGAATAATCTTTAAAATATCTTATATAACATTATGATTTATCGATAGCATAATTATTTCTATTATTTTTTTTTTGTCTATTTTTTCTTTCTGTATATATATGACTTTTCTTTCTTTGGCATGCTTGGAAAGGTAAAAGAAATGAATAAGATAGCGTTGAAACTGAATTTTGTTATGGTAATACAGACCAAAGGTTTTATTTTAAGTAATCATTAGGATTAAGACCAAATATATAACGTAAAAATCGAAAATTAAAACAATCTTATGTCCATTCTATATTACGCCCTGAAATAATTTTAAATTTATGATTACCTATAATTGTGATATGTATGTATATAAAATAAATGTGTATTGACAAAATTATAAGAATATCTATTTCAAAAAATACAAGAATATCTATTATTCAAAAAAATAATGAATTAAATTGACCATTTTACATAAATATACATATATAATCTATAATATTAAAAGTTTATTTTTGATTATATATAATTCGTTAATTATATGTTTAAATAAAAAGTATACAAGCATTATAAAAACATTAAAAGTTTTAAACATTTCTAAAAATGCCATCCTGATCATCGGTCGGTAAATTTTTTCCTATAATAATTGAATAAAAGAGGGCGTTAACATTCTTTATACTATGACGACCTTGTCGCAACTGTTACGCCTCCTCCGGCAAGACACATAACTAACACGCTTTGGAGTCATCAAACGCACACGCGGGAAACCAACTACAAACAAAGTAAAAGACAACAAAGACCCTGAAAACAAAAGAGACGGAAAAGACGCTGAGAACACAAAGAAAATCATACATTCTTTCCAGCCATAACTGCTGGAAACCATAATCTGATTGTATGTATTGTATACGGAACATAGCTAAATAAACATATCACAATTGTCACTTGATGTGCAAAGTTTCTTTCTACATAGTGGGTTGTCAATGATAAATCCACAATTGATGACGCCGACGTGATTTTTGTGCATCAAGAGTTTCTACTGAAAGAAAAACATATCGGCGTCAGCTATCCTGCCTTATCATAAAACACGAGAACATACTGAACAAACGAATCAAAACAACAACGTACAAGAAACGCCACTAAACACTTCGACAATATCGTCTATCCCAACAGCGTCAATGACAGGAACAACAGCAGAAAATATTTCTGGTATGCAGAACCTACCCATTTATAATCAACTACTAGTTCTCGATAACATACTGCGTGACAATTATCACTCGATAAGTCAACCCAAATTGATGGCATTCACCAAAACTCGACCGGATCTCTGGTTCATTATGGCTGAAGCTAAATTCGCTATTCATGGAATCATCGATGATAAAGTTAAATACCTGACGGTCCTTAAGGCCCTTGACCACGACACGATCGAGCAGATTTCAGACATAATACGACAGGAGCCAACTACAGATAAGTACAAAACTCTCAAAAACGTGATAATCTCACGACTCTCTGATTATAGACAAAACCAAGTAAAAAAACTTTTATGTGAGACAACGCTTGCAAATAAAACACCTTCTCAGCTATTGCGACAAATGCGCGAATTAGCTGATGGTTCCGCTGATGATACTATATTGCATCAACTTTGGCTTGAACGAATACCAGCACATATCAAACCGCATCTGATTACCACAAGTCAATTTCCGCTTGATACTATAGCCGAGTTTGCGGACCGTTTTTATGAGCTGATGCCCTATGATCAACAGAATAATCAGGTCATGGCAACTTCTGCACGCTATCCTGTATCACCGACTCTTCAGGACATTGACTCAAAGCTCATGGAAATTCAAAAATCTCTTATTACGTGTATGATGGAAATCAATGAGTTAAAATTACAGCAACAAAACACACAACAACAATTACAACAACTCACTTTACTGAAACAACAAAACCAACAACTGCAGGCTCAACAATTTCCGATGCACCATAATCGCAGCAGAACAAGATCACTGACACCTACATGCAATGACATCTGCTACTATCACCAAAGGTTTGGCAGCGAAGCAAAACGCTGTATCTTACCTTGTAAATTCGCCTCAACAACCAAACTAACAACAAATCAGGGTAACTAATGTCGCTTTCTTCAGTTGGGGTAGTGCAATACAGCTTTCAAAGTTATTCACAATTTCTCACATACTAGCGGCAGGACCACATTAAATAATATTTAATTACATCTAAATTTACGCGAAAAATACATTTGACCTGAAATCCATAAGGACGCACTTAAATGGTCTAGAAAATGTCTTGCTTGTCAAGGAGCAAAAATTCATCGTCACAACAAGATCAAGCCAGACCACATAGGCGTATCTGATAACCGCTTCAATCATATTCACTTGGACATCATTTTTCTACCGAAGATCAAAGACTACCAATAACTGTTTAACCTTTATTGATCGTTTCACCAGATAGTCCGTAGGGGCTATTATAATCTCTGAAGGACATTATAACGGATACCATTGTTACTGTACTATACGAACATTAGATCTGTCATTATGGTACACTAATAAAAATTACAACCAATCAAGAAACTCAATTCGAGTTAGCGCTTTTCTAAGCTCTCGCTCAACTCGTGGGAGCAACAAAAATTCGGACGACATCCTTACCATCCTCAATCCAATGGAATTGTAGAGAGGATGCACAAGACTCTCAAAGCATGATGATGTGTTCCCCTAAACCATGGACGGAGATTTTACTTACAGTATTATTAGGTTTAAGAACCAGCTTTAAACCTAACATCCAAGCCACCCCAGTTGACATGCTATATGGTACTTGCTTACGTGTACCAGGCGAATTCTTCGTCATTGCTGAACAACAATCTGAGCCACATATCTTCTTGGAGAAACACAGAGAATTCATGCGTAGACTTAGACCTGCACTGACTGCTCAATACAACAAAGCCAGAATTTTTATTCTAAAAGATCTTGACACCCGTTTTTATATATTCCTGCGCTATGATCATGTGAAAGCTCCATTAGAAGCACCGTACATTGGTCCACATAAGGTTATAGACCGAATAAGTGATCGGGTATTTAAAATTAACATCAACGAAAAAGAGAAAAACATTTCAATAGACAGATTGAAGCCTGCATACATCAGCAAGACCGACAATGATCAACCAGATTCTTCAACATATCAACAAAACCCAATCACATCACTGAGGTTCCATTGCAGATAAACCTTAAACGAACTTACACACGTAAAGTTAATTTCAAATTTCCCGCAGAAACTCATTCAGGGAGGAGAAATGGCTGTGGCGACTTCGTCGCGACTGTTATGCCTCTTCCGGCAAAACATATAACTAACATGTCTCGGTGCCACCAAACACACACGCGGAAAACCAACCAAATAAAGTAAAAAACAAAGGAAACGAAAAAGACGGCAGGAACACAAAAAAAATCATACATTCTTTCTTCGATTTAGAGGCCATTTAGAGGCCATAGCCATATGCTGGAAGTCATAGTCTGATTGTAGCTACTGTATACCGAACATAGCTAAATAAACATATCACAATTGTTACTTGATGTACAAAGTTTCTTTCTACATAGTGGGTTGTCAACGATAAACCCACAATACCACTGGTCAATAAAGTATACAGTAAAATTACAAATTGTAGTCAAAATAACAATTAAAATTAACTGAACTGATTATTATATATTTTGTGTGTATAATAAGAGTTATTGATTTTTTTCCTTTTAAAGATTTCTTGTGCAATAAAATTCTTAATTAGATCATCAGCATAATGTTCAGAAATGAATCGTTTGACACTGTAGGTTTTGAATCTCAAGTATCAGTTGCAAAGTGAGTCGTAATGTTCCTAAATATTAATTTAATGATAGATTTTAATTACCATCCATAATAAGGTAACTTTATTTATTTTTAGACCAGAGGTATCTGAAAATGTACAGACCACAGAAATCGTATATTCTTCAAATCAAGTTCAAACTACGGAAAGAAAAAATGCAGAAGTAAATATCTCCATTGTGTATCTATCAAAATTTAATTCTACATATAAAATATATTTCACAGACTCAAACTGTACAAGAACAGACAAAGACGCCGAATATTGATTATAATAAATTAGCAAATTTTTTAAAAAGAGTTACACCTAGTGTATTAGAAGCTTTGGATGAAATTCACAATACCAATGCTTTTGAAGATTACGATACTAAAACAACAAAGAATACATCTGTTAATTTGCAACTGTTAAAAAGATTAAACACTGTAGAGGAATCAGATAAACAGGTATTAACATAGTTTTATTATAATAATAAATAGTAAAATATTTTTTATTATATATCATTGCAGACAAAAATAAGTGATTTATCATGGAGTATCGCAGGTGGAACATTAGTTGTATCTCATAGCGTTGTATACCATGAAACTTGGTGCGATCATCTTTCAAAAATACAATTGTACAGTCTATCGAGAGAAGACAAGCTTTCAGATATTTCTAACAAAACTTTGGAAGTAAATTCTTGCGTTACAGTATTGTCTTATCATCCCGTGGAACCTTCAATTTTAGCAGCGGGCTTATTTAATGGTAATAGTTCATGTATTACATTTTATTCCATTTATTTTAAACATAACATTCCAATTTTTATTTATTATTGTAGGAGATGTATTAGTTTGGAATCTTAGAAATGATGATTCAGTCACGCCAATACAAGTTTATTCTCATGGTGACACTGTCTCTCAAATATATTGGAAACCAAGAACAGTAAATGATGTATCTATTTTAGTGAGCTCAAGTAAAGATGGATATATCATAGTTAACAAATTAATGGCTAATTTTACGACGACTCGTTTACACAAAAGGTATTAATTCTTCAAACATTTTTTATCCCATCATCCGTTTCTGTTCCCTGTAGAATTCTTTTTCCCTTTAGATTCAAAATAATAAAAGAGCATAATCCAATAGAGAATTCACGACCACGAAGCGCAGGTGGCACACGCGAACGTGCAGTAGAAGCTGGATTATGTATTACCAGCTTTGATTTTTCATGGAAAGATCCTAATATTTTTATTGTAGGAACATTATGTGGTGGAATATATAAATGTTCTCTCGATCGCATGTCTTTTATTGAAGGTGCATGATAAATTTATATTTATATTTTAACATTTTTTGAATAACATTATTATCAAATCTTTTAATGATATGATTTAAAATTATGAATATTTGTAGGAGACGAAAGTCTTTCAGATCCAGTAATAGATGAGTATGACAGACATGAAGGAAGTATAACGTGTGTTAAATGTTCGCCAAATCGTAATTTATTCGTTACTTGTGGGACGGATAAAGACATTCGTATATACGATTTGGATCAGGTAAACTTTCAACAGATAAAATTTCAAGAACAACTGTAAAGGTAGATTTAAGTATTCGTTGATTTCTCTTTTACATAGAATGTTAGTCAACAGTCAATTTCGTTGGAAAGTACCGTTATAGGTTTAACGTGGATAATAGGAAATCCGGATATATTTGCAACGTTTGGTGCTGGCAATGCAATTAAATTTTATAATGTAACCAATGGTAAAGCTGTGACAAACATAAAAGTTGAAGTAATTAGCGAAGCGAGTATCAGTAATATATCTCTCAATTCTAAAAGGTATATTCTATTGAGTGTCTTAAATCAGATAGTAGATAGATAGACAATTAAATCTGAAGTTTAACTGTACTTTTATGATCTATTCTTAAAATTTTACTGTTACTTTCTATTTCAGAGACATCTTAGGTATCGGGGACGTACAGGGACGTTTAGAAATTTGGAAAGTTCCTCGGCAATTGTTCTGAGATAATATTTATTCGTTTATTTTCAACTACAAAACAATTTATTATTTTTCGTCTCATATTTGTCACTTATATATATATATATTTTTTTTCTTTTTGTTCAATTGTAATTCTTCAATAATTAATATTTACTATAAATAATTAAAATTAACTATAAATTGAATGTAATAAAATAAAATATTTATCCATATTCGAACGATATAATATAATGTTTTGAAACTTAATATTTTGTGCAACAGACTTTAATATATTAGCAATTTCAAATAAAATGTTTAAAATAAAAGCGAACGATAGGAGAAAAAAATTTGCGATAATGCATCACTTATCCATCATTGTGGATTAAAAGTATCGATAATACTCAATTGTTGCACGATATCAAACGATTAAATGTTTTAATTTTTATAAATAAATTACAATCGATCAAAAAAAACACTTTACGTTATTTATATACATTAAATCGACCATGAATAAAATGAAAAAATTATTATAAAAATAGGAACTGCGAATCAACAAACATCAGTGATCTTTCATCAAGTTTTTGGCAACTCGCCAAACGCCGGCTTCCTTCTTGAGTCTCTGCTGCGAAAATAATGATATACATATGTAGATGAAGATACGCACACATACATATTCGGATATATTGCCAATTAAAATTCATTGTAAATATTTTTCATGAAACACATAAAATTTATTCAGTAGGATAAATTTCGATAAAATGAATATTTACATTTTTGGTAAATAAACGTCAATGGTTGAACTATGTAAATTATTGCACCAACATTGGTGACGATGACAAACATAAATAAAAGACACTATTCGAGAAAGATGATTTATCATATTTCATCATCGCTGTACTATACGTAGAAATAAGTAATTTTGTATTTTCACACGTAGTCTGATATAAAAAAAAAATAATCTTCCTTTATTTTTTTTCACAGTACGAATATAAATAATTAAAAGATAAATTTACGAACAAATAAAATAATAATAAATAAAATGGATTTAGATATATTTTAAATCTTAAAAAAGTTCAATCGCCGTGTAAGCAAGTATAAAATAAAGAGAAATTATTACGAGAGAAATAAAGAGTAAATAAATATATGTAGTAAAAATATATTTCTTTTGTTTGTGTTGTGTGTATTATCTTTAATATATTACCTTAATATTTATGTATATTTCCTTTTATATCAATAACATATACATAGATATAATATAAACAAGGCTCATATTATCTTTGTTTTATAATCTTCCTAATTTAACGTAGATACTTAACATCGTCGAAGATTCTTGTTTATAATACGTTATTGTGTTATGTTATTGCGTCTTCTAGACGAAAATAACTGATAAGCTTGACAAATCTACTAGTTTGATTTGTTAAAATTACTTATTGCGTTCTTCAATGACATTGCTTGTTGATATCTTGTGCGATTAAAGGTGTTATCTGTTTCCGCAAAATAAAGTTTTACCGAAGAGATAATATTCTACACGGTACTTTAAAATGAGTCATCGAAAAAATATTTTAATCAATGCAACGTGAAACTAAGTTAAATTTATTTACATATATATATTTAATAAATCTTTTATTTCAGGAATATATACATACGTACGTACACAAATATACAAACCATAAACAACCAACAAGGCCCACGCAACCTTTGTTATATCTTCCTTGTTGAACATAGGCATTTGATTTTTTTCGAGGACTTCTTTTTATTTATTTCTTTTTATTTTTCTTTACAAAATACATAGACATTTGTAATGTTATTCAGTCTTGAACAATGCAAATATGTATCTGATAAAGATAAAGAGTTTCTTTTATAAACTTAAAAGTTTATTAAACGAATTTTTACGAATTACTTATTGTATAATTCACTGATGTTGATTGTAAGTTACCTCGTGCGATTAAACAAGTTCTTTTATCTGTTTCTGCAAAATTAAATTGTAGGAAAGAGATATAATATTAGTCGATGTTTCGAAATGAGTCATCGAAAAATATTTCTATATCACTGTGACGTCATTCCGATTGAAATATGAATAATAGTTTTGAAAGAGAATGATATACGATTATCTTTATCCTCGAATGATCGTCTTTTTAATGAAAAATCAAAAGATAACTTAACATCAAGAACATATTGAATTATTTGTATTATTAAAAAATAAAAAATATATTATTTTAACAAATATAAAGTAAATTAAAAAAACTTTGATATATATAAGATATATATATATATAAGATATAGTCAAGAAAAATTTCGTAAATATGATTTTTACCAAATCTAATACGTACCATGTTCTAGAGACATCTATTGATAATCTTTTCTCATTTGACCTTGATAATGTGACAACTCATATTTCGAATCCTCTCAGCTGTGTTAATAAATTAGAACATAATATATCCGTCCTGTTAGAACAATATTATTATACAGTTAAAACAAATTTTAAAAACTACATTAAAAGGACAACAAAATTCATTTAACGAACTTATATTTCAAATGCGACCTTATAAAGTGACCTTAACTGCTTACCTTATAAAAGGACCCATTTTTCTATGTCAAAGAAGATACTTATCCTTGTAATAACTTTTATTTTCGTTTTCCGGTTTTTCCAGCAATTAGAAAAGTAAAAGTTAGTACCGAAAGGGAATTTTCTTTCTTCTATTCTAAATTCTGAAATTATAATTCTTAAGATATCTAAAATATCCTTTTTTTTGTCCTAAAAAGGACAGATTTTGAAGGACCTTTTCCCTCTATAAATATATTTATTGTCCTGAAAAGGACAGAATCTTCATTCTTCTTTGCATTATGGAATGTGAACCGTAAACTCGTACCTTTGCGTTTATTGATCATTTGCGGGCCCTAAAAAGGGCCCTAAAGAAAAATAGAGGGATTTCATAATATAGAATGGTTGTGAACATCAAAATGGGATATATATATATATTAGGAAAAGGACATAAAAACGAAATTATTTTTTGTAGAAATACGTTAGACGATCCAAGATAATTTTAGGAGATCTTTGATCGTTAAGGACGGACAGAGTTTTTGTGTTGTTAGGGAAAGCAGGTAAACGGGATAATAGAAAGGAGGGAAAGAGGGATATAGAATAGAATTGAACAAAAATGAAATGGATGAAATTACGATATTGGGAAAGGAATGAAAAAGCTCCTTCTTTTCTTCTATTTCTTCTACTAGGTTTTTTCTTATCCTTTCTCTGCATTCTTCTTTAAAACTTCTTCTTCTCCGTAAACTTGCGCAGCAGGCATACATCCAAAAAGGGAAAAATATTATTTACTTCGTCGTCGTGTTATCGTAGAACGACAACGACGATTCGAAAAGCCGATCGTTGTCGTCGCCTTGCTTTTACGGACTTTCTCTTTTCTCCGTCTTTCTCTCACTCTCTAATCTCCAATGCCTCGAAAGATATTCTCCCACGTCTCTTTATTTCTTTCATTCTCCCAATCCGTACTACTGCGTTGTTGTTGGTTGCTGTTGTTGTTCCTGCTGTTGCTTTGCTTCTTCGATCTATCAATGTATCCTCTAGCTATCTTATCTATCTATCTATATCTATCTCATCTCGAACAACGTGACTTACGAACAAGAAACGTTGTTAAAGTTGTGTATATAAAGGCTAGATAAAAATTCTTGCCTTTTGATTTCTTCTTTGTTTTACGATACAACACAACACAACACATCACAGAACGCTTTTACGAAGGAGACGTTAACTCTTAAACCATCAGCAACATCGAACGATGATATATATATATATGTATGTGTATATATATATATATATTTGAAATTTGTCACGTCACTTTCTTTGTCTTTCACGTGATTAATAATTGTGCCAAATTCGAATATTTGGAATTATTCATTTTTATGGAGAAACCATTCGAGCATACACATTTTTATCTGTATCTTATCTTTTGCTTTGTATTGTAATATACTGAACGACAACTCCTATCATTTTTTTTTCTTTCTCTCTTTCTCTTTCTCCCTTTTCTCTTTACGTTCTTTATCTCTTCTCTTAAAAATTGCACTCCATCGTTTCTCCTCATTCTCTCTCTCTCTCACGCACGATTTTTCAATCTTTCCTTTTCCAATCATACTATCTTCATTCTCTCTCTCTCTCTCTCGTTCTCCTCTGTTTTTGATTGTATCCTTACACTTACAGCTTTTTTTGGACGCTTTTTGTTATGCTCAAAAAGACATTTTCTTAATTTTCTATCATCTTCAAAAATCCTCTGGGATTCATACTCTCATCATCATCATCGCATTTAACTATTCTCCATGTTTTTATCTTAACATTTTCCTTTCTCTCTCTCTCTCTCTCTCTCTCTCTCTGTTTTTTCTCTTTAAAAACCCGATATACGTAGTACACATATCAGTTCATATATGCATTAATACATATATCGTACATTCCATTAAAAAACATGGACGAAGAGCTCGGCGGAGAGCTTTTTTTATATATGTTTGCTACTCCGCTTTTCCTGGACTGGACTGATCTCTTTCTCTCTCTCTTTTTCTCTCTCTCTCTCTCTCTCTTTCTCTCTTTCTACTTTTACATTCTTACTCTTCTTCTCCTGGCGATAATACAGATCTTCTCTCCGGTGTGTCCAGAAAAGATCCATTCGCTTTTATTCCTAATACTAATTCAGAATCTCATCTTCCTTCTTCTTCTTCTTCTTTTTCTTCTATCATACATTTTAACAGGATTAAAAGAATCTCTTCCCTCGAAAAAAGATAATCGTCATTTCGATGACGATTCAAAGTTCTTCTCGTTTCTTCATCCTCCGGTCATTACTTTCATCCTCGTTTCCTCTTTTATTAATTATTTTCCCCTCATAGAAAAGAGGACAAAACGAATGAACGGGAACGAAAATTTTTTTGAGTGAAAAAACAACTTCTCTTATCATACACGCAATTCGAAAGGACGTCGAACTGTATAAAGCATTTTCCCCTCCACCTCTACCTCATCCTCCTTTTCTTCTTTTTCTCATGATATACACACATCGTCGTCATTGTGCTGTTATATGTATTATTATTGTTGATTGTGTTATATTGGCGGCGATGGTAGCGGTGGTAGTGATAGCGCGCAAACGCGAGACGATTGTTTTGCGACGAAAACAACGGGATGCGCGTAGAAAGGTGGCGATCCTTCCTCCTATCGAAGAAAAAGAATAATCATTTCTTCTTTCCTCGTCCTAGCGCAACACGCGATCCTCTCCTCCTTCTACGCCCTCCTCTCCTCCACCTCATCCTTCTCCTCCTCATCTCATTCTTCTTCCGATAATAAAATCATCTTTCATCTCTCCATCACTTCGTCGCAGGATAGTATAGACAAAGGATCTCGCGTTTGCGCGTTTATCGACGAGTTTCTGTCTCTCTCTCACTCTCACTCCTTCTCTTCTTGCCACCCTTCTTCCACCTCTTTTTCTTCTTCTCCTCCTCCTGCTTCTCTTCCTCCATCTTCTTTGTTCATCTCTTCGTCCTCTTCTCTTTTCTCTTAACACTGACTCTTTTATATCGAAAAGTGGGGCTGCTTCGAGTTCGACTCCCACGCATCGTCATTCCATCTTCTCTCTCTCTCTCTCTCTCTCTCTCTCTCTCTCTCTCTCTCTCTCTCTCTCTCTCTCTCTTTCATACACACATACACACACACATATTACATATGTACTTCTTTCTCTCTCGGGCATTCTCTTGTCGAATCCTCAGAGAAAAGCCATGGGGTCGTGACAGAGAAACCCTGTTTGCAAAGAAGTGGCCAGAGATATCTTCTTTCGATTTGACAAAACGTAGCCTTTTCTTTTACATTTTCTTCGACCACCAGTAGCAAAATATTCTCTTTCTTTTTTTCACTCATTCATTCATTCATTCATTCATTCATTTTCTCTTAGTCGTACAATTATCTTTATCTTCTTTCGTCTATCTTCTTCCTTCATATCTCTACTTTTCTCGCGCATTTTATTTCATTATATATATATATACAATTATTATCGTTTAACGCTATTACAATTTATCATGATTTCTAGAAATCATCATCATCGTCGTTAGCATAAAACACGATCACGGTTTTTATCGCTTTGTTCGTCGTTATTACTATTATTACACGCTCTGTTCATATTTCTTTCATTATCATTATCATTATTATTATCTTTATCTTTTTCGCCTCCCTTTCTCTCTCTCTCTCTCTCTGTCTCTCTCTCTTTCTCTTTTTCTCTTTCTCGTGTAAACGAGCACCCTTAGTACGATTTAATGTATATATATATGCATACATACATACATACATACATATATATATATATATATATACATATGTAGATTATAATAATTCTATCCTTAAGTACCCTATTGTGTTTTGTTGATGTTGTTGTAATTGTTATTAATTTGATAGCAATTGCAATTACGTCCAAAGATCGGTCCAATCGGCCGATACAAATTTTGGACGTCCAAGAGGGCAAAAAATCATCATCACAGAGATCGCGACTCGATATCACTTAATCCTAAATGTATACAACTATCATCTTAAAAGATATAATTCTCGTTTATTCATTTTTAGCAAGACGTTCTCTCAAAATCTTTTTCATATTTTTTTTCCACCCACATTTTTCTGATTTTTACACCGCGATTGTCATCTAGTTTATTTTATTATCGTGTTTCTAAGAGAATGATTTGCAACTTCATTCTTATCATTTTTATGCAATTTGTCTTTTTGTTTTTTTTTTCTTTTTCTAATTTTCTTTTTTTTTCGATGTCTTTGAACTTATTAACAACTTTCAAATTATCAAAGACGACAATCGCGATTTCTTGTTCATATTTCTCGTTCTTGTCTTTTTCTTTAAAGCATATCAAAGTGTTTGGTTTGTTTCTGTGTGTGTTTGCGTGTGTGTGTATGTATAGATGTGTCTCTGTTCGGCTTAAATAACATAAAAACGATGCTCTGTACAGCGATAATGGGCATATACAAATGTAACTTATAATTGGATACAAACTTAGAACAAGTGTTACGTCTAACATAACGTTGTTTTTTTTGTTTTTTTTTTAAACGTTCAAGAAAGAGGAATGTCCCCCCTCTCTCTCACACTCTCGATATAATAAGAATTTTTGTTAACTGGACCCGCTTCAAAATGAAGTTAAAAAAAAAAAAATTTACAGAGAGAAGATAAAAGAAGAAAAAATATTGGCAACAAGCGTCTTTCTCCTTTTGTTTAAAAGGATTCTACGCGTTCTTCGTCGACGTTGATTCGAAAGTTCATTGACCTTTGCTACTATACGTATCATCGTTTTAGTTCAACGTATCTCGGCTAAAACGAGAACCGATCGAACGTTCGTTAACTTCTTTTTTTTTTCTTTTTTAATTTTTATTATTTTTTTTTTGTCAACGAACTACGACGACGACGACGACGACGACGACGACGAACGTAATTATTGTTATTATTATTATTATTGTTGTTCTTTTTTTAATGAAAATTTTCGTTTGACACACGGACATAGACGGATTAGTCCTTCGTCTTATCTCTTTCTGTTTTTTTCTACGATAATTAAAACATTGATGTACATTGGGTCTATATAATTTATTTTAATGCTACACACGTGCCAATATATTTTCTTCTCCGTTGTCTTTCTTAATTTTCTTTTCTTTTTTTTCCTCCGAAGCATCGAAAAAAGTAAGCGAAATTTTAACAGGCTCTTTGTTTCTTAAGCGCAATTTGATACGTTACATTTAAATAAAAACAAAAAAAAAGAAAAAAAGAAGAGGAAAAAAATGACGCTAAGACGCAAGCAAAATGATATTTTTTTCTAAAGCGAACGTTCGCTTTTTATAAAGAATCTCTTTAAATTTTTATTTCTTTCCTTCTTTCTTTCTTTGTTTTTTATTTTTTGTTATTTTTATCATCTTGAATATATCTCGACGGAGTGTTTGAAAGGACGCGTCCTTTGCTCGTAACTTTTATTCGTTATCGATCACACGCGCGCGCGCACGCATCGCACACAAGCACACACACACACACACACTTTTTGAATACACATACACACACACATCGGTGTGTATATCGAAAATGTGTCCTTTTTTGGAGCAAGAGGCTCGTCTATTTTACTACGTATATATATCTAACATGTTCTCACTCTCACATATACATACATTCTCATGCATTTATTTTGGCACGCTCGCCATTCTCTCTCTCTCTCTCTCTCTCTCTCTCTCTCTCTCTCTCTCTCTCTCTCTCTCTCTCTCTCTCTCTCTCTCTCTCTCTCTCACAAATACATATGCAACATACGCTCTCGTTCATTCTCTCTCTTTCTCCCCCTCATTTTCTCTAAAGGTGTATATATATATATATATATATATATATCAAGGTACATAGTCGAATCTCGATTCGCTAAAATAGTCAGTGCGTTTTCTTGCCGCAGTAGCAGGCAATTCCATTTATCCTCGCGGCTTTTCTTTGGCCGGACGTCAGTAGTGTGCGCTTGCGCAACAATAAAACACGTCGAATTCTCTGAACGGTGTCGTCGTCCTCGTTTACAATTCCGATCGATCACAAATAAAAAAAAAAAAGGAAAAAAAAAAAGAAAAAAAAAAGATCTGATTTACACGTGTACGTTGTTCTTTTTTTTTAATTATAAGCTATATTGCATATGTTCTCTTTGTATGTGTTGTGTGTGTGTGTTCTACATACACATCATATATACATATCAGAGAAAAAATTGAATTATTGTAAATTAAAAAAAGAAAGAAGAACATATGAAATGTAAAATAAAAAGAAATGAACGAGGATTAGAAGACGACGTATACCGGACGAGACAGTCAGTGGGGAGTCTGACATTCGGCCATGATTTTCACGAACAGCAGCAAGAAGAAGGATAAAAAATATTGTCATTGATCTTTGTCAAAGGGCTTTCGATATAATATACATATAACGTCGTGTATCTGCCTGACTTTATCTTTTTTCTGTTTTATAATACTTGTGTGCATGTGTATGTTCATGTTTTATCACATATGTTTGAATGTATATGTACGTGCACACACAAATGTATATATATATATATATATATATATATATATATATTAATTATGTGAACATGGAGAAAAATTTACAAGCACGAACACGATGGGCGTCAATCGTTATATGAGTGACACTCCTTTTTGCTACCGTTGGTAAAAATCTTTCGTCACCTTGTATGAATGTCTTCGAGATAAACATAACAAAGGAAACGAAAAGTAACGAAAGATACGTTTATCTCCCTTTATTATTCGATAAAACGTCGTTGTACGAGCGCTTTTGTGAGAGCACGCAATTTTATACCTCTCTCTTATAAAATACGAGAGTGTAAGTGAAAATGCATTTTTATATATATATATATATATATATATATATATATATATATATATATATATGTGCATATATATTGTAAATATCAAGAGAGTAAGTTTCGATCGCACGATAAAAAAAGATTTGTGCTTCTTTCGTTCATTCGTTCGTTTCTTAATAAAGTTTCTTTTTCATTTTCACTTTCACATCAATTTTCCACGTGATCTCACATACTCGAACGACGCTTTACGTACTCAATAAGAATAATTATTATGATTTACTGTGTATATGTGTGTGTGGCATTATTATTATTATTAATATTATACATATAATTATATTTTATATATATATATTATATATATATATATATATATATAGATGTATAGATATTACTTATTTAAGATAGAGATAAAATTTAAATGAAAAAGAAAACAGAAAAACAAAAAAAAAAAATAAAAATAAACGAAGAAAATAAAGTGGAATGAAAGACAAAAGGAAAAAAAAAGGGTGAAATAAAGCTAAGTAAGATCGAACAAACGTTCGTGCGCCTCCCATATTGTCTATCATTTATTTCTCAAATTTGAAGATCGTGTATATATATATATATATATATATATACAGCTCACAATATAAGAGAAAGAGTTCATCGAACTCTTCTTTAGACACACTTAGGACTAAACGAAAATAAAATATTAAATGAGACATGCGAAAAGTGTTCTTTATTTAGGGATGAAGGGGGAAAAAAAATAAAATAAAAAAGAGGGAATGAAAGTAAAATCTCGAAGAAAGAAGAGGACGAAGAGAAAGAGAAAATCAGAGACGAGAAAAGATGGATAGAAGAAGATCTTGCCATTTTTCTTGATTTTTTTCTTTTTCTTTTCCTCATATACTCTTCGTCTTTCTTTTCTTTTCTTTTCTCGAGATAAATAATAATCGATGATTTCCCGTCGATTGAAACACGTTGTAAAAAAATATTTTAAATGAAAACAAAAAAAAGTAAAATAAAATAAAATTAAATTAAATAAAAGAAGGAAGGAAAGAAAATAGAGAGAAAAAAATATATATACATTACACGATGACTTCATTACTAAAAAAAAAAATACCCACGAAGATGCCACGACAATAATGCTCCTCCATTTCTTATTCCCTTTATCCGTGTGTCTTTATAATAATATTATCTCAAATCTTTCGCAAACTTAATCCTAAATTTAAGGCTTATACAATTAATCGACATAGTGTTCGTGTTGTTGTGTTTGTGTCCCTTTTGTTAATGTTAAAACGTTAATTTTTAAACGATTAATCAGTACTCATTTGTAATGGTATTTTTCACGAGAAGCCGCTGCTTTCTTTTTCTGAATTTGTTTCTTTATTTGTTTGTTACTTTAAAGATTCTGGATTTTTTCTTTTTCAATCGGCAATAATAAATACGACGAGAAAGAGAGAGAGAGAAAGAGAGAGAAAGAGAAAGAGAGAGTAAGAGAGAGAGTAAGAGAGAGAGTAAGAGAGAGAGAAAGAAAGAGAGAGAGAGAAAGAGAGATCTCGTCAAAGTATAGTTGTTCGCGAACAATCAAAACATCGATGACATTTAATTTCTTTTCTTTTCTTTTCTCTTTCGACATCGGCTTCGATTAATAAATCAACATCTTTTTCAATAGATAAAATTTCTCATAAATCGAAATTTTTAACGGCCAGATTCGAGGATATACTCTTTCTACATCGAAGGATCAACGATATGCTATATTCATTGATTTTTCTCTCTTGTTTTCCCTAAACACTTTAATAACCCCTGCCATATGATCTATCATAACTATTTTTAATATATATATATACTTATTTATATATATATATATATATATATATATATATATACGCGTATTATGTATATCTCCTTATATGCTGCTGTTGTATCGTTGAGGCATTCGTGTAATATGCGTGAATTAATATCTAAACTAATTTACAAATATAAAATACGAGAACAGATCATAAAAGACTTTTTTTTTATTATATAACGTATGAATTAAACGCATATTCTTCTCGCAAAGACATTATTAAATCGTAAAAAAGAAAAAATTATAAAGAAAAAAATAAAAAAAAAAATGTAAACTTATAGATCTTTTTAATATAATATATACCTAAAATAAATTTTTTGCACGTATGTAAAAATGTCGAAGTTTCTTATATCTATATAATTAATAATAATAATGATAAACATAATAATAATAATGATAATAATAACAACAACGAATATCTCGATATGTTGTCTCGTGATATTTCATCGTCGTTCGAAGAGTAAAAAAGCTAAAATAAAATCCTAATGTAATATATATAATGATCTGATTGGTGTGTAACTAATAAAAATTTTTCAAAAATAAAATTTAGAAAAAAGATATGTTGTACGATTCTCGTAATTCTCCTTGGAAAGCTATAAAATACAACACCTCTTTCTCTCTCTTTCTCCCCCTAACTCTATTATCTGTCTCTTGAAAACAAAAAAGCTAATATAATTCGCGCTTCTAATCGATTGAAGTGCAGATAATATTAGGGTGACCCTAAAGTTTCTTTCTCATCGTGCTATGAATGGCCTTATCTGGCTCTGCTTATGCAAACATGCAGGCTTATCTATTAGCCGTCTATGTCATCGGTTTCAATCGTCCCAGAGCTCTTTTGCAGTACGTTCGTTTGTGCCACAGTCTCTTTTAAAACTTTCATCCACAGCATAAAACATGGATACAGAAAGGCGACATTTACGGCATATTATACTTCATTGTTTCAAAAAAGGTGATAGTGTAAAGAATACTCTCGACGAGATTTGTACCGTGTACGGGGATGGTGCTATAACAATTATTACAACTGTTCGCAATTGGTTTAAAAAATTTAGAGGGGGAAATTTGAATTTGGAAGATGAAGACCGAAGCGGCCGTCCAAAAACGACAGATATGGACCTTATCAAAGCCATGCTTGATGAAAATCCACGATATAATGTGCGCGAGATAGTAAATGCCACTACGGTTCCCAAAACAACAGTGCATAATCACCTAAGGAAGATGGGATATGTTAATCGGTGCGAAGTTTGGGTTCCGCACTTATTGACGGAGACCAGCCTTATGAATCGCATCTCTATGTGCGAGTTTGCTTCCCAAGCGACATGAAAAAGGATCCGTTTCTAAAAAGGCTTGTCACTGGAGACGAAACTTGGATTTTATATGAAAATGTGCATAGAAAATGCACTTGGTGTAAGGACAATAGGCCTTCAACTGTCGCAGAGCCGGAACTAACACCCCAAAAAAGTTCTTTTGTCCATTTGATGGGATTGGAAAGGCGTAATTTTCTACGAACTCCTTCCTCAAGGTGAAACAACAAATTTTACGAAATACTGTCATCAACTGGATCAATTGAAAGGTGCCATAACAAAAAAAACGGCCAGAATTAATGAACAGACAAGGCGTTGTTTTTCATCATGATAACGTGAGACCACATATTGCATTAGCGGTAAGAGAAAAGCTCTTACAATTTGATTGGTATGTTTTACCGCATCCTGCATACTCTCCAGATCTCACTCCATGTGATTATTACTTCTTTTTGTTTTTAAAAATTTCTCTTCGTGATAAGCGCTTTAAATCCATCAGTGAAATAAAAGCACACCTCCAGGATTATTTCTTGTCCGAAACACAAGAATTTTGAAAAGAAGGCATAATGAAGCTTCCTGAGAGATGAAAGAAGGTAATACAGCAAAAGGGTTCTTATATAACAAAATAAATAATATTTTAAACAGTAAACATTGTGTATTCATTTCATATTAGAAAAAGGAAAGAAACTTATGGGACACCCCAATATATTCCCTTATTTCCGGTAAGCTCTCGAATGAATTTCGCCCGCAAAAAGCTGCTAACCAAGACCTAACATTATTGTTAAATAGTGAACTTTTTGTATTATTTTTTTGTCGCATCGATTAAAGTGTCGATAGATAATGACGAACGATAGACTCGAATATCACCTTAACTTTGAGATGGTAAAAAGAAAAAAAAAACGGAAAAGAAAAGTAAAATAAAATAAAAAATAGAAAAAGGAAGATGAAGAAGAAAGAAAAAGAAAAATATTAAAATGTTTAAAGAACAGATACTGGATTTTGAGAAACAATTTTCCTAAATAATAATAATAATAATAATAATAATAATAATAATAATAATAATAATAATAATAATAATAGTAATAATCTTAATAATAATAATAATAATAATAATAATAATAAAAATAATAATAATAATAATAATCTTAATAATAATAATAAAAATAATAATAATAATAATATAAGAAAAAAAAAGCGAATCGACCAATTTTTTTTCCAATCGTATTTTCTTCTCTTTCTAATTATTGCCTAAAGACTTTATCAATAATCTATAATATATATATATATATATATATATATATATATATATTTATTTATTTACACAAAGACACGTGTTGTATTTTGTCAGTAGAATACAATATAAGATGAAGACCTTTTTTATCGGTGGGGAACGAGAACTTAACGAGAAAGTTATAATCATTAGAAAAAGAAATGACGCATACGTTTTAAGGAGATATTACGAAGTAAAAACGAGAGATCCATATTGCTAAATGTCCTTCACATATGATAAATACGTATATGTGTATCTCGCGAAGTTCGTCGACCGATTTGCGTCACGGGTTTCCTTCGAATCGATAATCGTTGAGAGCATTGCCATTGCTAATCTTTTCGTGCAACCGTAATGCTGATATTATATACATTTTCTCGCGTTCGCAAGATTCTTCAACTCGATATCATTCATACATTCTCTTTCTCTCTCTCTCTCTTTCTTTTTATTTTTCTTCTTGATTTATTCGTACGGATTTCGTAATAAACCAGCCTATTGCGTCGAACGGCTTTGTACGTTACAATATCACAATAAATTACCGGTCAATGGTCACGGGTCGTCCCTTTTCCCTACTAATCCTTAGTTTGAAAAGAATAAATCTTTTCGAGGATAAGTAGCTCAAAATTATCATAAATTATCCTTAAATTCTATAAGAAGCAAACGAAGACGATGGGGAGTTAATATTCATTTAAATTAATAGAAGTCGAAAAAAGAAAATAATTATTGAGTAGTATTTCATTTGTATTGCAAAAAAAAAAATAGAATAATGATAGATAAATGATAAAATTATTAATGTTTAAGAATATATAGAAATAGTAGGAGAAACAAGAGTGAAGAGTGAAATCGATAGAATACTTCCAATCCTCAATATGGCGGACAAAGTTATATACGTACTTAACCTAAAACTGCGGTCCCTTTTTAAAAATATCAATTTAATTTAAAGCTAAAAGTACAGGTTACGTTCGCGATCAATCGATATTTGACAATCCAAATTCCATCACCCACCAACGACGACGACGACGACGACGACGACGACGACAATGGGACGACCCGAATGATCCCTCCCCGGTAGATCCTTTTTTGTTTTCTTTATAAATACTATTATAATAATGAATTATAAGCTATAACTTTATATCTTAAGTA